CATCGCCTGTCGATACTGGCGATGCAAATGGTCACGTGATTACAATGTAATGAAATCCCTGGATCGCTTAGCTAGTCTAAGCATCCCTATTTGCTATAAGAGATATGATAGTGCTCGACCTGTCAGGACGCCGCCTGGTCTTCACTTGTCACATGCTTACGTGATTCGTGACACCTACCTAGGTAGGTACGCTATAAGGCTTAGTTCGACTTACTTCGTACTACTTAAGTTATAGTATTACTAAGTACTAAGACTAAATGTAGATACCTTAAACCTAAAAATCTAAATATATATATAACGTAATAAGGAGATATCTATTTATTATAATTTAGATTTACTTAAACTTACCTTATCCCTACTCCGCTTAGTATAAACTAGTAACTTATATTATAAGATATAGTAGAATTATAATATAAGTTCTTTTTAATTATACATAGTAATATAGTAATACTAGGTTTACCGTTTAGTGTATTCGGAGTATCTATAAATAGGGGTTATATATACTATAAGTACGACTACGACTACGAGTATAAGTATACTATAGTTATAGTAGCTTTGTTATCGAGTTCTAAGAGTAGATTTTAAATTTAGGAGTTTAAGAGTTTATAAGTATAGTAAGTAAACGTGTTTCATTATTATAGATAGATAGGTATCCTTTATTAGCACTATATATACCTACCTACCTACCTACCTCCTAACCAAATCCCCTCCCCCCTTCTCCCTTCCCCCTTCCCCCTTCCAACAAACTCAAACTCACTACCCCGTCTCCCCTTCTACCTTACCCCTCAAAACACCCCGCTTACAAACGAAAGAACAAACAATAATGTGACGGTTCTGACCATCACGTGCCATTCATATCACGTGGCTTCCTTGGCGAACCACATTGTATTTAGACTCAAGCTCTCTCGAGCTCTCCTCTTCTCCTCAGCTTAGAATCTTCGAATAGACAGTTCTACGATTCCATAACCTACACCTTGGACGCTCCTTGAGCAACACATCGTACGTGTCGTCACAAATAAAACAAAGAATTAAAAGTAAATATCAAAAACAAGAACAAAAGAGAAAAAGACTAACTCGCTCGCTCAAGTAATACTCCAATCTGACCCTATCCTACTCCGAACCCCAGATCCGAATCCAAACCCTAATCCTGATCAAAGAAGAAAGAAAGGAAGAAAGAAAGAAAGGAAGCAGTTTATGCAGCATACCACCAACACACAAACCGACTATTAATTAAAACCATACTACCCCTTGACAAAAGAAAGTACCCTCCTTCGAAAAAAAACAAAAAAAAACAAAAGAAAAGACAGACTCCAACCCTATCCAGAAAGCCCATCAAGAAGAACCATTCAAAAACTCCCATTTATACAGACAAACAAACTACCTCTACCAAAGCCACACCTCGCGATACCCAAGCCACCGACTAACCACCCGTCCCGTCCACTGATCAATCTTCGTCGGAATAGCCCAAGGGAAAAACGGATCCGAGACGCTCCAATTGTTATGCGTCGCCTCAAGGGGATGACAAAAGATCTCGCACATGACAGTTTCCGCAAGGTACCAGGTGAGGAAGGTGAACAGGAAGATACCCAGGTACGTGAACCGCCATTTCCTGTGGAGCCATCCTTTGGAGTCGGTGGACTCGAGATGGTGCCAAAGTCTCGGTGCAGGGATTTGGAGGTAGACAGTGCTGGGAGTGGAGCCTCGAGGTTTGGTGGAAGAAATAGGAGTCCAAGACGAGCTGTCTAGAACTTTCTCTTCGATCCTTTCGATCCCCTGTTTCGCATCACGGATACTATGAGTAGTCTTCTTAAGTTTGTGGTCCATTCTCTCCATCGCCAATTCCTCCAGTCTCCTATCCTTCTCCTTGAGTGTAAGTCTACGCCCCGTCTCATCATACAAGTCGATATCCTCTTCTTCTTCTTTCTTGATATCAAGATCGGTGACATCGAGGAGTTTATCCAGTTCTTCGAGCGTACAATCTTCGTATTGTCCTTCGAGTTGTAGTTTGCGGATATCTTCGGCTGCTGAAGCGAGAACAGCGGTGTTAATGAGGGGTTTTCTTTGGAATGGGAGACGTGATTTGAGGGTTGCTTGGGCGGTTTTGGTGGTGGTGCTTTTGGTATCTTTGGGTAATTCCGGAGTGAGATCGAATGTAGTGCTATTTTCTGAAGGAAGGCCTGTGAGGGATGAGGAACGGGGTCTTCTTGTTTTTCGGGTGGTTGGTGCTGGTGTCTCGATAAACGCTCCCGTGACCCTCGGTGTGGGGAGGGTTAGTGGATCGATTTTGGGAGGCAGGGGAGATTCGTTTTTTGGCTCCAATATGACGGGTGGTTCAAGGGTAGGGTTTTCTTGCTTGGGTGATGGCGCACGAGATGTCTCTTTCACAGAGTTTTGGCCCGATTTGTTATCTTGAAGCTCAAACAGTTTTACTTCCGCTGTAATTCGATCCTCTGGGTCAGCTTCAGAGTTTGGTTTACTACTTTCTGTATCCGCCTCCAACTCATGGGTGATGTTCCTCTGTCTGATTGCTGGGCTATCGTTCATCAGTATAGAATGGGCCGTAAATTCGACATCAGCATTCCAGAGGTAAGTCTTTTCAGGCGATTCATCTGGTTGAGGTGACGCTGGAGTAACTCTGAGGGAATCGGGTACGGGTTCTTGGGTTTTCTGCTCTAGGATAGCAACGTTCGGCTCGTCTTCTGGCGTTGTAGATCTGGGAATATCCGCCTCCTGATCTTTCGGTGGCTCCCTTTTGGCAATATCAGAGTCCGTTTCTCTCGACTTTCCCCTTCTGCTTGGTGTTACTGAGACTCGGCCGTTAACTCGCTCTCTTGAGACATCGGAATCGTCATCTTTTTGCCATAGCCTTGGAATTTGAGACCCTGGTTCTCTTGCTCCTCCTCTCTTTGAATCCAAACCCTTTCTTCGCTCTCTCCTCGCCGCAATGGAATCCATAGCGCGTTGCCTTCTGCTGTTAATCTCAGCCCCCGAATCTTTTGCTTCCTCTCTGCTTGACTCATTGGTTTCTGATTCTTTTGCACGTTCCCTCCTCCTGGGAATCCTAGATTCTGGTTCTTCTGATGGTTCCCGCTCCCTTGGTTTCTCAAGACACAAGGCTGCTCGGCGCTCTCTCCTTTTCTCAGCAGCAGAATTCGTATCTATGATAGTTTCCTTCTTCGGTAACTCTACCTCCACCTCCTCGTCTTTCTCCTGCGCGGCACTTTCCCTTGCCTTCCGTGATTCTCTTGCCCTCCTCCTTCTTGCCTCAGATTCCGTTTCCTTCGGAGGTGGCAGCGTTTGTGAAACGTCGAAATCCATCTCTTCCAATTGCGCCTTTGCCATCCTTGAAGTATTTTCTGGTCTTGTTCTTGCTTCCGGAATCTCAACATCAACAGAAACGCGCTCCCTTTCCTCCCTATTCAAGTCGCGATCCTTTAATGGGTACCTTGGGCCTTCCTCACTTGCAAACCTCGAAGGTAACATATCAGGCAGCGAATGAGAAGATATATCTTCCATGTTCAGCAAACTCTCATCAGACCCTTCATTTCCGTACCCATACCCTCCCCTCAGATTGAAGTCCTTAACATCCAAATCCATCCCGAAATCCATTTCCAGCGTCGGATCGGGCGAAAGAATCTTCTTCATCCACTGTACACTACTCGCTTTCTTCGCTCTCTGTCCCCATTGCTTTGGTACATGGACGGGAGGATCGAGGATATGCGCATCAGCCTCCTGTTTCCACTGCTTCGTCAAATTGAGAGGTACGTCCGCAATATCGCCCTGTTCCTCCAAAACAGCGGGAGGATTAGAAGTCGCACTCGTCTTCCTAGGCAACGTCCTTGTCGTCTCCACAGTCCTAGGGTTCAACGTCCTTCTGCCCTGCGCAAACACCGACGTCCCGTTCGTCATCCTCGTCCCTGCTCCCGTGCCATTGATACGCGGTGACGCAGGACTCCCGTTTGCATTCGCATCCATCTCGTCACTTTTCTTCCGCCCAAAGTACCTCGGCGGCTGCGCAATCGCCCTCTTGATCCTCTCGGATGGGTTATAATTCGGCGCCGGACTAGGACTCCCTCGAAGCGATCCCGCGTCGCTTTCGCTGTCCAGCGAAGGCGTTGATCGTCCAGTTGGTTGGGGGATACAACTATTATTGCCAGGCGACGCGCGACGGAATGCCTCGCCCAGTCCGAGGGATTGTCGTTCGGGTCTGCGATTTCCGCGGGTGTATATGCGCTCTGCCATGATTGCAAATGAAAAAAAAAATACGCGATCAATGTTTGCGATTGTGAATGTTTGTAGTGACGGAGGGAAAGCGTCCCCCAGCCTCGCGTGCAGGTGAGGTGCAGGTGCGCTCGGCCGTTGGCAGTCGCGATGTGCCTGAATGGCCTGCGTCTGCGTCTTGGATCCCCGCAATCATCATTTTTTCAGGAACAACTGTCATTGCGAGTACGGAGTCTCGTACTGCAATGACTGCACTGCACTGAACCCAATCAGGGGTTGCATTGGGTTGCAGATCAACCAATGTAAGTGAATGGTGCAATTGACTCTCTATAACAACCCTTCGGCCCATCAAAATTGGATGTGAATTAGTCTACTGTTACAATGCAATGGGAACCTTGAAAAATGACACTTGGGCGCAAAAAGGCGCTAGTATTTCTTCTTTGGGTTCTCCGTCTGGCTAGACCCTCAACGCCAACGATACAAGACATGATCCGACTCCGGGATTTTTGTGCTTCGTATCATAATTTCAATTTCAACTCGACCCTTCACTTCAATTCCGCATCCACTTTCGGAGCCTCCTTAGCAGCCGCTACCTTCTGTGCCTTTGCCACATCGAATCTCCAAATTCCGCCTGTCTTTTCAGGTTCCGGAATATAGGAGATTGCAGGTGCTAGTTTTTCCAACACCCTGTCACTCTCTACCAAACTGAAATATCTCCTTTCCCAAACCCGACCCTCTGCCTTCTCCTTCTGTCTCAACTCTCGCTGTGCAACCTCGATTTTGGTCTTCTCTTCTCCTGTGACATCCATATCTCCCACTGCAATTCCAGCAGCCACCTTAGCCCATGCCCTTCTTGACTCCATAGGATCTTGTTCTTCGATGGGCGCAATCTGTAGAGGTGTAGTCTTGGATTTGTCTGCATCATAAGTCTCAATGTGCCCACTCTTCTTGCCACTTCCTTCGGTGATATCAAAAGCTTTAGTCCATTGTCCACTGATGGTGTAAAGTGTCTCCTTCTCCTTGCCAGTTGGGTACAGAGTAGCGATGACACTATTCTTCTTTCCGGACAACCAACCCTTTCCACTGTAATCAATCTTGGCCGTGTATCCAGAACTGCTCGTAATGTACGTCTTATCATTAAGCTCCACAAAAGGCGATCCAAAAATTAAGCCCTCGATATGCAGGTTTGGCAGGGTGATAAGATAGGTTTCGTCAAAGGCAGGTATCGAGTAGACAGCATGTCCGATTTGCTTGATATAGATGGTTCGGGCAAAGGATGCCTTTTGCGCATTGTAGCCCTGCAGATAGACTCCATGCTTCTCATTCGAGATGTTGTAAGCAGTGACTGGGGGATGATGGCTAGTACAACTGTCAGCATGCCAACATTCCGCTCAGATGAGTACATAAAAGAGCGCATGCGCACCTCACTTGCTCCGAGACCAGCTCTGTCGTACCCGCCTCATCCTCCCACTTACCCAAGAAGAGTTCTCCAAGGAAGGGATTCAGAGGCTTCTTCTCGTTACCAAACTTCTCACTACGACTCGCATACTGCTGCTTCAGCGTGCTCAGGAACCATTTCAACACCAAGAGTGCCCGCTTCTGGGGATCCTTTTCCTGGGCCGGCGCAACGAAGATTGAGGGGTGTTCAGCCCAGTAGGACGAAAACTCGACAAGCGATGTGGAGGATAGGATGAACGGTGGGGCTGTGAGTGAGGATAAGTCCCCAGAGAAAGATGCGATGGATTTCAGGAAAGCGGTCCAGGAGCCTCTGTTCTGCGCAGAAACACCTGCTCCTTCGGTCTCGTTTGAGGAGGACATGTTGTGGGGAGTGCTGGCACGGCCAAGGGGAGGGGGACCGAGGGCTGTAAGTGCGAGTGCGTGCGAAACGTGAAGGTGAAAGTGAAAGTGAAAATGTGAGGGTTGGCGTGGGCTGATGCGAATACCGGTGCAGGTACAGTCGAGGGCAAAGTAGGTGAGTGGGTAAGGGCGGTAGTGTAGTTGTATGAGGCACAGTACGTGGTGGGCGTGGTGGGGTACGAGAGTTTCTTATCGAGTCTTGTCGTGGAGATGTGATGCACAAATTTAGGTACAGTGGTGCAGACTGCAGTCAGTACTGTACTCTATGAATGTATGCTCCGAGGTGGTGAATTCGGAATCCAATTAAAAAATACAGGGGTTGTCCCACGATGACGTTTCGCTGCGGCGAAGTAATGTCCTCATAGACAACTGGACCTGAACTACAAGTTTATCCCAAGTAAATCCTGGATCAACAGACAACATGCCTCCCCAAATCCACGTAGGAGGCTGGTTTTGTCTCACCAGTCATCTTACCAGAACTGATTCGCCATCCGAAAACTGCACTAATTGGGTCATTTTCATCATTGTTTTTACAGCCTGTCATTCTAAAGCAATGCCCTCAATTCTCATTTCCCCTTTGATCCGTGAAATCTACAATTGCCCCGCAGTGTTGAAATCCTTCAACCCCTCAGTAACACGCGCCGACATGGTCTTCTCACCCTCTCTGACCCAGACTCGGGGATCAAAGTACTTCTTGTTTGGCTTATCATCTCCATCTGGGTTACCGACTTGCTTCAGCAGGTAATCCTTCTTGTTGAGAACGTAATCTCTGATACCCTCAAGGTAGGCATATTGGAGATCAGTGTCGAGGTTGACCTTGACAACACCGTAGGAAATAGCGTCGAGGAACTCTTGTTTTGAGGATCCGGATCCTCCGTGGAAGACTAAGAAAACTGGCTTATCCTCCTTGGCTCCGATGTTATCCTTAACATACTTTTGGTGCTTGCCGAGAAGCTCTGGGTGGAGCTTGACGTTTCCTGGCTTGTAAACACCGTGGACGTTACCGAAACCGGCAGCAATGGAGAAGTAAGGTGAAATTGGCTGAAGAGCCTTGTAGATGGCAAGGATATCTTCTGGCTGCGTGTAGAGGGAGTTGTTGTCAACATCCTCGTTGTTAACTCCATCCTCCTCACCTCCGGTGATACCAATTTCCTGGAAAGATTCATTAGCCTCGAAAAAAACACATTACGCTACAGGATCAAAACGAACCATCTCGAGCCATTGCTTCATTGGCGCAGCTCGCTTAAGGTACTTGGCAGTGGTTTGGATGTTGTAGTCGACCTCCTCCTCGCTCAAATCGATCATGTGGCTGGAGAAGAGGGGCTCGCCGTGCTCCTTGAAGTACTTCTCATCAGCATCCATAAGCCCATCCAACCATGGGAGGAGCTTCTTGGCGCAGTGATCAGTGTGCAAAACGACTGGAATACCATATGCTGGAGCAAGAGCGCGAATGTAGTGAGCAGCAGCGATACCACCGGCGATTGAAGCCTCTTGGTCCTTGTTGCCAACACCCTAAATGCATCATGTCAGAAACCACAACTCTATCAACTTCTGAAATTCTATAGATGTACCTTTCCAGCGAAGTATGCAGCACCACCTTGGGACATTTGGAGGATGATAGGTGCCTTTGCATCGCGAGCAGCCTCGAGGGAAGCGACGACGGTAGAGGAGGAAGTGCAGTTCTATGGCAAGTCAGTCTCTCAATTTCGGTAGGGTATCATTTGGGGAAGACTCACAATAGCGGGGATGGCGAACTTGTGCTCCTGAGCGTAGTTGAAGAGCTTGAGCACATCATCACCAACGATAACACCGCTCTTGCGGCTGAGGATATCTTGAACACCCATGATTGTAGTTGAGAGTGGTTGAAAGGACAATTAAATCTGTTGGAAGAGAAGAAGGGTGTCAGTGACAGGTCAATGGAGGTTTGTTTGCGAAGTTTTCTCTTTCCTGGGCTGACAGCGGGGTGGAGTGGTTTGGGAGGGCCGATAGCTGTCGTTTGGCGCTAGTGGTGGGGGTTCCAAGTCTTGGAGTTGACGATAGAGAGAGTGAAGCTTAGTGCGTGAAAAATTGAGGTCATGCTTACAGTAGGGATTATTCGTGTGGCAAGCGTTGGCAATGGTGGTTGAGCTAAGGATTGAGGGTGGTGTGAGAGGGGAAAAAAGAAAGGGAGGGAGGGGTTTACTGTAGAAGTTTGGATGACCGTTTTGGTGGTCGAGGTCACAGCAGTGCAGGTGGTGGTGCAAAAGAGAGCGCCTGGCACCTGCGCGGTGGAGGTGGGGTTGCCTCGTCATGGGTTGCATCGGGTGGTGCCTGCTTTTGCCTGCGCTCGTGCGGTTGGCAAGATTCAAGAAGCAAGACATCACTCAGGGATTCCGGTATTCGCCATCTTCGGCAGCTCAATGTTACCACCTACCTAGCCCTACTCGAGTACCGATTTTTATATATACCTAGGTACGAGTACAGTACTCTTCGAATACACAGATGAACCGGAATTCTTTTCATGTGTTGTCGTATGACCTTATCCAGAAGTCATAGATGTGGATAGCATGTACGGCTAGAGCTCTGGGTTATCTCTCAGCTCCCACGTCCACCCCGATGCCAGTGCGGTATATAAGTCATTCCAGTATTGCTTTTGCCTGGTTCAACCTGGCGGCCATTCAGCTCACCGAACCTCACATGTTCAACCACGCTATGGCGGTTTAGAGTCAGCAAGCGCGGAATATATTAGATCCCCGAAGGACATCAACACCAAATAATGAAGAGCCCCAAAGTGTGACTCTCGGGGATTACGCTGGCTCGCCGGATGCATTGAATGAGCAGGGGCATGAGCATGAGCATGATCCGAATATTCTTCCGTCGAAACAGCGAGGCGAGCACCTCAGGAGATTCTCCGGCAGCAACCCTTCCAAGAGTTCTGAATCGATGAAAGCCACCTGGGTTGGGCGCGCAAGCAGTTCATTGGCATCCGATGCGTCGGATTCCACTTTTGAGCTATTTACTGTCATCAAATCATCCAATGGTTCTGCCCTTTTTGGTAATAATGAGTCTGTGAAAAGTCTTTCTGGGCAGTGGCAGAGGCTGGAGAGGGAAATTGTCATGTCAACTAGACATCTCAAAGTATTAGCAGTATATACTCATGGCGATACTCTCCCTCTCGTTGGAAAACGCCATGTTCAAAGGGTTTCCAGCCCCCCGTCTGAAAATGGTGATATTACACTATGCAATTCGTGCAATTTTTACAGTTGATATACATCTCCCTCTTCAGCCCTGACTCTTCACGTTGATTGTTCTCCGAATCGCTGTCGATGCTCCCTTTATTTTGATACCCACTTCGAAAGTTCCCAAATGCTCGACATTGGTTTCCCCTGGTTTGTTCACAAACACAATATCTTCTGGCCACAGTTTGATATGCTTTCCCTCCTCTGTTTGGGCCAGTAGAGCCATCAAGTTCACGGAAATGTCTGTCGTTGATACGACACCCACGATGCTTGTTGGTTCCTCCTTCATTCCCCTTGCCGTAGAAACATTTGCTTTTGCGGCTACGGATGAAGATACTTTGGGTGCTGCTTTGACCGGTGCAATTGCTGTTCGATAGAAGTCCACACTCGCGGGAAGGATATTCGATAGTATTGCAGTTTTTTCTTCGGGCTAGCATAGGTTAGAAGACCCTCAACATGAATTTAATCCTTCCCTAGGGTATATCTCACAGATGCCTTTTCCGGTTTCGCAGTTTTCTCAGGCTTCACATCTTTTGTTGGATTCTTCAGATGAACAGACGCCTGAGCCAATATGCTGATAGGATCATTACCCGTTGCCTCTTCTTCCTCCGGTACAGATGTCTCTGCTTGTTGCACTGCCGCTTTCCCCGGAACGATATCTTCATCGTTTCGTGATATTTTGGCGGGCAAAGCGGAAACGTTATCCTCCTTAATTCCGAGCTCTGCCAATCGTGCATCTGTCGCATAATCAGCCTGTCGACTTGCGAACCAATTTCTCATCACGCCCGCTGGGACAGATAGAATGCTTCCTAACACACATATCAGGGTCTACATTCGCTGAAGTGGATCATATCCACAAACCTCTTGGGCCATAGCCTTTAATATCTTGCAGCAGAAGGGCTCTGAGTTTCTTTTTCGTTCTTGCGCTCTTCTTGCCCCGAATCTGCTGCCCGGCGGGAAAGAGATGATTCTCACGCAAACTACCGGCGGTCCTGCGTATGCAATTGAAGCAATGGGGAACTCGAGAAACTAAAGGCGAAGCCATTGTGATGCTGGTGACGACTTGCAATGCCCTGCCCACAAGCTGGAGAGCTCCATGAACCGCCTGGGTAAAAATAAGTGATATTGCCACGCCAAGTCTCACCACAGTCGCACCCACGGAGGTTTGAGAGGGCGCGTCGCCGACTGATTACAGGTTATCGATTGCAGGGTCTGCGACTTCTCAACGGTCGAGGTCCACCTCGAGGTCACTTGGGAAAGACTCATACTGCTTAATACTGTAATGTGGCTGGGATGAGCCTGCCATTGCATACGTAGTGTAGTATAATTCAACTCTCGTCCGAAACCAACTGGCGAGCCTCATTTTTTTGGTTGACTAGCACGTACTTGTAACACGTACACCTGCACTTCGCATTCCTCTGCCACCCACCTGCATCCCAACTTTTGTCGACTACGCACTCGTGCTGGTCGTGCTGGAACAGGATAGGCGGACCACCACTAGCTTCATTCGCATCGCATCGCTCGCATCAACTTCTCCACGGTGTACCTTCGCCGTCCCGAAAGCTAGACATCAACATCAACGGGCATGGAAACCGTTTACGAACTCCCCCACCTTCAAGTACGCATACGATCTCGGAGAGCCTCAACATGCCGGAGAGGCCAGTTACGATCGCATACGCGGCCGGAGCTGGATTGGCTGCGATAGCACTAGTTTATGTCTTTCAGCCCACCTTCTTCATCGATGGAGAGTCCGCCGGTACTTCTGCGAGCTCAAGAAAGAGAGGGATTGTAGGCCTGTCGAACCCTGCCAACGACTGCTACATCAATTCGGTCTTGCAGGCTCTCGCTGGTTTGGGCGATTTACGAATATACCTGATCCGAGAAACGCATAGGAGGGCTTTGGATGGACCAGGTGTATACGGCTATATTGTGGAAGACCCGTCTCGAAAAGGCGATCCAGCGTGGAAGATTGAGGGGTTGCAGAATGGGATTGCCACGAGTGGACTGAAGGATATCCTGGATGCGCTCAACGAGCGCCCGATATATCAAAAGACCATTTCAGCCACAGGCTTTGTTACGGTATTAGAGCAGGCTTACCAAAAGAGCATATTGCGGCAACAGCAGGATGCGCAGGAGTTTTTACAGAAAGTGACAGAAAGGCTGGGGGATGAATACCATGCGGGCCAAAGGGCGAGGAAAAATGCCCTGCTGAGGTTATCCAACGGGAATGACTTGGATCAAGTATCAGAGAAAATAGATTCAGAAGACCAGGAAAACAAGGCTAATGGGGAGAAATCCTCGGAATCGCAATCCACTGCGAAGGGGGGTCTGGTTTCAAATGGGACTCGGAAAGGCATGGGAACACTTCAGAGTCAGGGTAAACAGGCATCTACGGTGGTTCAGAGTGAACCTGAAGATGGATTTCCGCTTGAAGGAGCAACTGCCCAGCAGATTGAATGTTTAACTTGCAAGTACCAGCCCATGGCAAACGAAAGCACATTCTGCACTATACAGTTGACTGTGCCTCGGGTCAGCTCAACAACACTAAACGACTGCTTCACCGACATGTTCAGAACAGAGCATATCGAAGATTTCAAATGCGAAAAGTGTAGACTTGTTCACGCTATAGAAAGCTTCAAGCAGGATTACCATCGATCCAAATCCGAGAAGGACAAGGCAAAGATAAAAGTAGCCATTGAAAAGGTAGAACATGCGATAGAGACAGATCCGGAACAGGAGCCCAAAGATGTTACATTGCCAGACAAGAAATTTGCACCCAAAGGAAAAATCGCAAAACACGTTAAGATCACGAAATTTCCCAAGGTCCTAGCAATCCATCTCTCACGGTCAATTTATGAAGGCTACTCTATGAAAAATTCCGCAAAGGTCGCATTCCCAGAACGTTTACGACTCGGAGGACTTCTTAATCAGAGAATGTATCGCCTCGTAAGCGTCGTTTGTCACAAAGGAAGTCATGATTCAGGACACTACGAGTCATTCAGACGCCAATATCTACACCCGCCATTCTCGACTCCAACTACGTTCCACACAGCTGGTGCATACAGCAAAACCTCCACACCCATTTCAACCCCCACAACCGTCCCTTTAGTAAGACCCGATGAAGAAACAAGCACTATATCTTCCACGCCCGAACTTCTCTCCCCAGACCCCAAATCCTCCACCACCTCCCTCCCATTCCCACATCTCGAGAATAGTGCCAACTCACCATCCACCACCAACAAGCCCCGCGACGCAGAAACATCATCCATTCGCTCGCTCGCTCACTCGGCTAAATCCACGCTCTCGAAAGTCCCTAGTATTCACCAATCCTCGCCTACTCCCTCAACAACTCAGAAAAGATCCTCTACCTCATCACTGAAGAATGCGCGCTCTAGTATTAGTGAACTCGTGAGAGGCGGGGGAAAGAAGAAGAGTAAGCAGAAGGCAACGAATCGATGGTGGAGAATCTCGGATGACCAGATCAAGGAGTGTAAAACCGGGGATGTTCTGGGTATGCAGAAGGAGGTCTACTTGCTTTTTTATGAGATGGAGAAGGTTGACGTCTGAATTGTGAAGGGTGTTGATGAATTGGTCGAGGTGCAGGTTCTCTTGGATTTATGTGTTGGAAATGAAACGGGACGAGGCATTGAAGGGAAGACGATTGGATGACTGCATTTTGGATACGTCCAGGTTTTTGCATAGGACGTGGAGTTTTTTTCTTTCTTTCGTTATATCTCTTTATTTTCTTATCTTCCCTTCTAAACTTGTTCTCCTTCTACATTCTTTGTTTTAACTCCCTCTTTTCCCCTTTTTTACTCTCGTTTTCAAAAACATATAGTTTATTTTTATTATTTTTTGTAGATATGGGTGGATAGCGAATGGGGGGTACGGGGCAGTTGGATATGAATCGGTCACGAAACGCTGATGTGGAAGCTTGATTCGGAAATGGGAATGAGACATGCTAGGTTGGCTGATTGATATAGGTGCGGTGGATAAAAGTGGGTATTCTTGCACACATGTTGATTTGTTTGCATTGATTTGATTTGTTTGGATAGAGCAGATTTATTGGATAAATTAGAGCTGGGGAAAGAAAATAAGCGAAGAGAAGAGAAGAGAAAATGGGTTAGATGTGTGTTTGTATGTATGGCGTGTATGCATTGGATTAGATGAGGTTGGGTAGATGAACGATTTTAAGAATCTGGGAATGTTAAGAGTAAATTAAAGTACAAGTAAGAGAGGCGGGCATTACTCTGTACACGCTATTAAAAGTCATTATATAAACGAAAGTCTGGTACGAGTAAATCAATTGTCCTATTTTACATGGTATAATTAGAGATTCAGAATTTGAAAGTAACAATTATTCTAAACTATTTGTATAATTGATTTAGTTACATAAGGTCTACCGTCTTTAGAACAATATTTTTATAACTCAGGTATATATAAAGTAATACCCACCTCTCTTATAAGTACTTGTACAATCAAAATTATAATATATACGAGTAGTTGGAATTTAAAAATCTATCTTTTATATACTTTATTTATCCTTTGGTATTGTAGTCTCTTGGCTCTATCTCCTATTTCTTGATAAGTTACTGCAATATGAATATGCATGACGCATATTTTGTTACGGAAGATGAAGATTTCGAGTGTTCTTAGAGAAAAGGGGCTCGCTTAATTAATATTACGTGTACCATGGCCTTGGCACTTGTGGTGCCTGCGCCCCTTGTTTGGTGGGTTAAGCGAGGATGCTTTGGTTTATGTCTGCTGACTACGCGTGCTATGCTCTCCTCTAACCTCCTGGAAGAATCTTTACAATTCTTCTGGGAGCATCGTATCGTGCCTTTGTACGTGAATCCAAGGGGGTTTTTTGGACTTTGGTTTTGGATCACTGCTACACTGGAAACAGTGGTGATAATCCTTACTTTCTGAACAGTGATTTCTGGAGGGGGTAAGAAGAAAATCTTTGACCAGGGAAAATGGTCGAGACATGGATTTGTTTGATCTGCTGTGGAGCTGCTTAAAGTCAGCTTTACGCAGAGTAGTACTCGTTTATACTATACTCTAGTTCGGATAGTGTGGCAATGTGGCAGATCCATTTCCTAAGATGGTAAACCTTGATGTTCATACTCTCTTGTAGACATTTCAATTTCAAAAATATGAGCACGTTTTCTTCTCGGAGGGGATTCTCATGAATTTGTATTGTATTATTTTTGAAAACCTGTTACACTGTAATGAAAGCAAGTCGTCCTTTTTGCTTAGATACTAGCAGGCTTTTGACTGCTAAGGTGGGGGTCCAATAGATCTATAAGTAAGATTCCAGCTCCTCCACTTCTTCAAGTCTGGGTGGGGGGTCATCGGGTATCGAAGTTTCGACTTCCCGTCGTTAATTTGGAGGACGCGAAGCACCTTAAAAGTCGCAGACTATATATCCTAAGCACCGCTATGAGAATCTCTGACGATTCCTGGTGATCCTGCCTACTTGCTAGCCCGAGCTCGAATTTGGGTTTCAAGAACTTCTCGACATGCGTTCACAATATCCACAATAATACCCTCCTCCCCACCAGCTAGCTCCTTGGTCTTGTTTGTGATGACATCTTGCAACATGCAGATACAAGAAGGGCTATTCACTTCCAGATTGGTTGTTATATCCCCCAAGCTCACAATCGGCGGATCATTTGGATAAGCCTCCTGGAAACGCACATTGAGAGATACCCATATGTCCGGATCACTAGTTCTGAGTATTATTTCGAGAGCCGGGCTCCGACCATCGACGACCTCTCTTTTTTGAAAATCTTCTCCGTAGATAGTAGCAAGGGTAAGGAGTTCGTCCTCCTGAATCTTTCGGTAGATAGCCTCTTGAGCACTCGATGTTATTGGTTCCATCCCGGCGACAAGCCATTCGCCACCTCCAATATTGCAAAGGGGGCAAGTCCAGTTATCGATTTTGTCACCCATCCTATACAAACACTTTGCACAACGCCAAGTGCACAAACGAATGTTGCGTTCAGCTTCCAGTTGACATTTTTCTTCCTGAGAATAAGACTTGAAGTTCACAAGAATATCTCCGTGGGCCATTGAATAGTGATCTCGACGCATTTCTTTTGTAGCAAATGGGTACTCACGTCCCCACACGCATCCTCGGTAGTCGCAAGAGAGCCTGAGGTACGTCCCGTGATGCACATTCTCATAATGGCTTTCTAACTCAGATGCTGTAGCAAATACAGGGCGCGAATTGTCCTCCCAGCAGCCGTCATCCGGATAGTAGCAAGAATATGTATTTTCGGTGGAGTCATGCCTGTCGAGATAGAATTCATTCGGCTTGTGAAGTTCTGGAGAGTTATAATACCATTCTTTCAGACGGAAGCATGGCTCCTTCCCTGGCTGAAGAATGAGTAGGTATAACTCGTCTAAATCCCTTACGTTTACATTGGAAGGAAGAGTTGGTCGGTTGTTAGGAGAAAGGGTAGAGGTGGCATTGGCATTGCTTGACCCTTCATGACTGGCGTCTGAGGTCATAGTATCAAGTGCACCAGAAGATTGTGTTGATTCATCGTCAATATTAACGTTAACGACCGCGTTGTTTTGGAGATTTTCGTAACGAGGGATGAGGGTTCTACCATGCTTGTCCTTGAAGTTTAGCTTTTTTGAAGTAATGAGACTCTTATAACGACTATCATAGTTCTCGATAGCTGATACGATGGTATCGGTAGTGTCATCGGGGACAATCTGAACTCGAATAAATGAGCGTGCACCCGATTGGAGTGATCCGAAGTGGAGTTCGAAAGTGACATTCTTTGCAACACTCTTTAGAGCCGGGGTCGCATTATCCAGAGAAGAAATGCTTCTCCTCTCGGCTTGGTCTTCCTCCCCTTTTCCTTCGTCTAGTTTCCCTTCTGATGTATCAACATCTTCAGTAGGACTCGCTTGGTTCTCGGCCTCCGTGCTCCTCTTCTGTAGTCCCTGGAAGCGCGTGAGAAGTTCCCATGCCACAAAGCGATCTTTAGCATGTGTGAAATTGAGATGAAATTTGACCCTGCCCTCTGAATCCGACCAAGTGATGGTCAGATCTTGCTGCTTCCGAAATTGGGTTGGCTGCCCGCATTTTTCTTCAAATAAAATGGCATCTGAATGGAGCATCGACCTAATTCGCACACAGGATTGTTGATCCAGGAGATCAAAGTCTCCCGTGCCTCTAGTCAGATACTTTCCATTGTCTCGCACTTCAAAGACAACGACTTCCAGTTTACGATTAGAGTCCTGTTCGAATTCACTGTGAGCATTTCGCTCTTCATGCTCCACACCCAACTCATCTATCTCTGCCTCTTCTCGAAGTTGCTGTCCCTGAAATTCAACAATAAAGTCCCATATGAGCTGTTTACCGTAGTTGTCTTCGAAATGAAAGGCAAGTTGGACCTCAGTGATTGGGTCTGTCCAAAAAATGGTATCAGATTCCTCAAAACTCGCAAACTCCCTCCCTGGGTGAACGATAGCCTCGAAAAATGTTAGCTCTGAACCGTCTGAACCCTCTGAAATAATAGAGATACGTGGTTCCAGTGGTCGTTTAGTAGATTTGGTGGGCCACATGATAGCAACACAGTCACCTGTTCCTCTACTCTCCCAACCATTGTACATCTCAAATACTTCCGTTTTCTGTTCATCTACTGCCCAGGGTAGCGGTCTTTCATATCGGGGGTGTGACCAAAGTACATATTCCGCCTCTGAGCTTCTGTCTAGCGCCGCCCGTCGTAGAAGTCTTTCTTGGATGCCATTGATACGATTCCATGCATGAGTGCAGCTTTCGGCTTCTGGGAAGCTAATGGTAAACTCGGCACCGGAAGAAGGATCCTTCCATTTGATAGCGGTGTCTTGCTCCTTCTTGAATGCAACTGTAGTAGTGATGTATGCCTTGAACAGGTTTCTGTGGTCGTTTGAACTGACCGTCACACGCATGTCCATATTGTGGGTGCTCTTGTTGTACATTAACCTCCAGGTAAAGTTTCCTGAGCCCAATTGAATCCAATCGAGACCTTGAAGCTCATAAACTTTTACCAATTTTTGCGTGGTCGAATCCTTCTTGTCAGTGGCTTCTTTTAGCTCATTCGATTCCGCAACCAGATTTGCGATTTCATTATTCTCATCCTGGGAGTTATTCTCCGGGGTCTGAAATTGCTGACCAGAAGAACTGTGATCATCTGTGAGAGGAACTCTAGAATGCGAGGAAAAACGAATGAAATCTCTCTCATTTGGATGCCTGTTGGCTTGTCGTGAAATCACCACATCCTTGCCAGACAGAACCAAATCTCCTAGTAAAGTTAGGTGGTCTTTGAAGTTGTAGGACAATATGTCCTATTCTTTCGGACTCTTCAACTTCTTTGTTTGAATCATTAGGGGCAAACATGAGCCGTTTGACTGAGGAGAATGGATACTCGATCATGTAATCAACATCGGCATCCCTAATGTTATATGATATCATACTGATTGCTGGAAAGGAGAGGAGGGTAAGGTCCATCGCAACTCCCTTAACCGGGTTCCATGAACCGATTCGAAGTGATCGGCACGGTAGAGCAAGAGTAGCTACACAAGAACACGGTTAGTGGAAGTCTAAACTCAGGCTAATTTTTCTTACTTATGTCTGGCAATTTATCCTCCGGCGAAGGTGCTTCTTGGATGGTACTCGAAAAATTATCGTCTTGAACATCATCGTAGAAAGTAGTGGCTTCTTCCCAGCTGATGGAACCTATAAGATATCGAAGGACCGGTTCAAGAAAGTTCTGTTTGCGCGAAGTATATATTGAAGCAGGTTTTTGAAGGTCCTTGCTCTTTAGCTTGGAGGACACGTCGTTTGCTTGTATGGTGAAGGTGGTTGGTGATGTTGATAGTGGATACTTGCGCAGGAATACCACGGTGACTTGGAAAGGCATAATTTTGTCCTCCTATGCCCAAGGACCGTTCATGGAGACCTTCACGACATTATCCTCCACGTTAACATGATCCTATGTGACACGGGGAAGGAGTTTTTGGATCCGAGGGATTTCTTCGCTTAAGCTTTCTGGCTCTTTGGAGCTGTCGGGTAATTTCTTTACATGGACTGTTTTTTCGGAACTAATACAAGATTAGCAAATACTCAACCTAGCTTTCGCAAAAGAAATACCTTTTGGGTCCAGCCGAGTGAGAGACACCTGGATCACCAAGTGTGGAACCATCGCCCAAGTCCTCATCAATACCCATAAAGTCGTGAGCAGTTTCCTCTTTCTTCTCGGGAGATTCTTGTCCCGCATCAAAAGGTAGACAATAGTAATTATAATATGCCTGGAGATCTACGCTAAAGGTCTCAGCGCCTGCCTCGTCGCATTTGAACAAATCCATTACAATTTCCGACCACCTTTGGTCATTTGTAACGACGTCGTAGCCCCCTTTCTTTTGAACAGCCGAGTATAACTCAATCACTGTCACCGACCCACCATTGTTGTTCCTTTTGACGAAGCCGTGCATGTGAACAGGGTAGTGGTTCTCTTCCAGGTATGTCTTGAAATTTTCAATTGTCAAGTGTTGAGTATGGAGGTCGTTCTCTGGACTTTCCGAGTTTGTAGTTTGCTGAGGGCCAGAGACCTCCTCCATCGATTTGTCTCGATTGTCACTAAGCCAATTCAAGGCTGCTTGGACTGTATGTCATTAGCTGCTGTTGGCGTGAAGAGCTGATAAAAAGCTTACGTCCAACCGTTTCCTTGACTGCCAACTCTGCTCGCTCCTTTTCAAACATCCCCAACCCCAAGAGCAATCTTAAGTTCGAGGGAATCTCAGGGCTTGGCTGCTGATCAATTTTCGAAGACGGGTTACCTCCGAATCTGCAATCTCTTCCAAAATGTTCGCATTGTACACAATGAGGATAGTCCGGATCGCACGTGATCTCCTTTTCTCTACAAGTCAAACATGCAATTTCGAGTCTCTTTCTCGGCTTTCCAGCTTCAGTAACACCCCAGTAAGGATTAATGCCTTGTCCTCGATGAACGCCTTATAGTGATTCCCATCATCGTGGAAATAGTATAGTCCTTCACCAGGTACCCGAGCGGATTGAACGAAACGAGGTAAGAACTTGGTGCCTGTCCAAATCCTTGGCCCCGGATCAAGCATTCCCATTGCTATTTCCAATTCCAATTTGCTTTTGAATTGATTGTAATCAGATTTAGCTACCTCCGAGATAGCGTTCAGGACAACCTGTCCTCGGCGGCTTGCAGTTAACGCTGAAAAAAGCTCGGTATCAATTCCAAGCTTTGCGATGTAGTACATGTAATCATCAACGGTACTTGTCACTTCAGAACTCCCTGGTGGTGGAGTTGCGACTTGTTCATCATAATTTGTTCTTATGAGTATATCAGATTAGTACCCAGACGTTGAAAGGAATACATTACTTACGAGTAATCGATGTCCAAGGACTGCTCCTCATAGTCAGCGACTGAAAAATCATTGTTGTGCTTCGATTGCACACTATCAACGAAAGAACTAAGCGCGTGGCTGGATAAAGCCCTAGAACTTAACTTCCCTACATTTCGCAGGCTATTAATTGAATGCCCCTCTGAGTTATCAGAATTCAGGTCTTTGTCGTCACTTCGCTCTCGGGGAACTGCAAAAAGAGCTAGTTGTTCCATATGTTTTCCAACATGATGCTTGAACTGACTTGGACTGACAAAGAATTCTTCCGAAGGAGCAATGTGAGGATTAATTCTCCTTAACTTGCCTTCCCAATCTTCGCAAAATAGACATTCAGGTGGCAATTTGTCTTCTAAAGACTTTTCACTCATTTCGAGGAGACTTGGGAGTTGTTCTTGTATGAAGGACGAAGTGTGATGGTGTTTCAAGTGACTTGCATATTTTTCGGACGAGTCAAAAACTTTCGCCTTGGTGCAGAAATGACATTTCCATTGCTTTCTGTGATCTTTCAACTCGTGTAGAAACCAGGTGTGGTAGTCGGAAACATGGCGAGATCACAATTTTGAAAGGTACAGACGTAGGACTTCAAGTCTGATAGAACGTGTTTTCTGATTCAATTGGTTAATACTTTGTATCACGACGTTTACGAATTACCTACCTCCATGACCTTTGCGTTTTGATAGTCTGGATTTGCCAGCAGTAAGGACACTCAAAATTAGGACTCCCTTTGGAGACAGTTTCTAGGGGCACAACTTGGAGCTTCGTACCTTCCTCATCTTGGCCGATTGAAGTGGCGTAAGAAGTATGGGACTGAGAATCTTCTTCAAGCTCAGGGTCAGGCGTAATCTCGGTTGATAAAAGGAGAGTTGAGGCTTGGGTCGGAGCGAGAGTGCTTATGGGCCTGGAAAGCACAGTACGTGTGTCCAAGTCAAACCTTCTAGGCAGCGCGGGAATGCTCGGTTGCTTGACAGTTGGTATAATCGTCTGCGAACCCATATGGGTCTTCTCATGATGCTCTCGGGAATACCAAAGATATTTCCGCCTTTTTGTAATGGCCTTGCCCAGTCTGACTGCCAACCAATCTCTATCTTTGGACTGAAGGGCTGGAAACTTGTGTTCCACATGGCTGATGTCGAATTGGTCAATTAATGGGTGTCTGGTAGCTGCGGCTGCTTCAGCTTTCGCGTAACGGTCTCGTTTTGAATTATCACGAATTATGGCCGAAAATCTGAAAATCTGAAAAGATTGCCAAAGATTGCCAACGATATCAATGATTGACTTGAAGATTTCCTCAATCTCTGACATCTCTTCTTCATCTTCTTCTCCTTCGGGTTCGGTGCTAGCTTCAGCTCCAAATTCGGAGTCCAAAACGCCGGTTCTATTTTCTCTTTCAACACACTCAACAAGCTCATCAAGGAGCTCTGAGATGCGATTGGAAATCTTTGGGCTCTCACGTAGTCTGAAGTCCAGCGAGGTTGTAATATTGAACGGATGAAGGGCACCCATATTTCCAGCCCAGAGTTTGAATCTATCAAGTAGATCAACAGAATCCGCTTTGGAAACGCATTGGCTATCATCTGAAACCTTGACGAGCTTTTCTAAAAGCTCCATGCAGCTTCGTGCTCCTGCGGCCACCGGCGAGTCTGTATCGAGCAAGGACGCCATCTTCCTTGATTAAACTAAAGCATGGAAACCATGAATCTGTCATCCATGAGGCACCGCAGCTACTGTGTTAAACAATTCCCGTGGCTAGTTGGGGTCGATGCGGATCAGGTAAGATGGGGAAGGGAAAGTGGAAGTAGGGGATGTGGTGATCAATATGATGCCCAGAGTCGAGGGATGGAGTAGAGCAAGAAGTACCTACTGAAATCCAGTCCCGAATTCTTCGAGGCAACGGGGCATGTTTATGACAATCTCAAATCAGTCTTTGAATGAGGCTGTCGTTACATGTACGTTGCAATCTCGTGCCACGACCCCGCAGTTGCTGTAACGAATCGAATCCATGCAAATCAGAGCGAGCCATATTTGGAAGACGAAAACCACTTCCTTCTTCCGCAAGATTTAGGACCTTGATCATGCCCTCGGGCCCTACGAAGCGATCAATATGAGTGGAGTTGAAGCAGCTGGATTTGTTCTAGCCTCAATTCCTCTAGCAATCTCGGTCCTTGAACACTACCAGAACTCGGCCAAACTTCTCAAGACTTGGTGGAAAATCAGAAACGAGTACGGAAAATGTGTGCATGAACTCAAATTCCGCCAGGAAGAATTCGAAGGCAATTTGTCCGAATTGCTTCTTCCGATAATAGCAGAGGAAGAAAAGTTGGGGGAATTGCTGGCAGATCCTGGCGGTCCCTGCTGGTCGGATGCCAAGCTCGAAGAGGCTCTGAGGGAAAGAATGCCCAAGAGATATGAGTCCTATCTTGAGACCATTGGTTTGATGAAAGGAACTATGGAGAGGCTCCATGAAGTAATGGGAATGGACATGGTACAACTACAAGCACGTGTTGTCGGCAACTTTGTAGGTTTTGATCCAATTCGTTTGTTCTTACTCGACTTCTCATTATAGGGCCTAACGCAACTGTCTAGGAACCCGCCCCTGAAGCACGAACCATATTCGGACACATAGCACAGTATGGAGAGGAAACCATGAAATGGCATATGCAAAGGCTCAATTGGTCCGTAGTGAAGAAAAACTCAAGAGCAGAACTTTTTGCTGAATTCACACACTACAACAATCAACTCAGTCAAATCCTGGGATCCTCAGACCGGGTCAGCGAGTTAAGCCGCACTCGAGTACCAAAATCAACTGCCGTCGATAAACGCTTATGGAAATTCTGGAATCATGGAGATGTACTTTACGATCTCTTGTTAAAGGCATGGTCTTGCGGATGTCAACCATTTCATCATGCCAACCTGTTGTTGGAACACAGAGCTACGTCAACAATCAGTTTTCGAGTAGTCTTCTGGTTCCAAGCACACCTAACTGAACGACATCAGCCTTGGACGTGGCAAGCTACACAGATCAAGCTGCTCGAAGAGCCCATCGTACCGGCAGTAACTACAATCAAAGTGCCAGTCCCAGTATCAACGAATGGCTACCGAACAGAATCAGCAACCTCTCTTTCGAGTCCTTTGAGCCGGCAAACAAGTGCTCCCCAGCTTGAAAACTTCAGGCGTCGAGACATTTTTCCGAGATTTAGATCCAAAACATCCAGATCCATTTTGAAAAGTAGCAAAAGTGAGGTGATCACCGGCCAAAATGTTGTTTGCGATGATGAAAGTTGCCCTCCGGCCAAAACTAAGGTGGCTTTCGCTGAAACAATGATACCAAAGGTGGACACCGCGAAAACAAACAACTCAAAAGTTGAGCCGCCCACAAATCCTCTGATCACAAACTTATGCGAGAAGATTGCGAGCTGCTCCACGAATCTAACCCAATACGGCTGCTTGGAAGGAGGGACCAATAAGTTTCTAGTAACACCGCTTTGCAAAGCAGACAACGACCCTCAAAAGCACGTTACCCTAAAGAGTCTGCTCAGCAGCACTTCAGAAATCCGTCTCACACGCCAAGAACGATTTCAAATAGCGCTGATTCTTACTTCCTCTTATATACAACTACACCCGACACCTTGGCTGACTTCCAAATGGAGTAAAAACGACATATTCTTCTTCTATGATCAAGATGACCACACCAAGGTCCGGACCTCTCAACCATATATCTCTCGAGCCCTCTCAGATCAGCTCCAAGAGAAGAAAAATTACGTCGCGATGAACATACCGTGCACAAGTACGAACGAATTCCGTGATAGCATACGCAGCCTCGGAATTATGCTACTCGAACTCTGCTTTGGGAAATCCATCGAAGAACATCCACTCTGGAAGAAACTTAGTCCGACTGATGAGAAGTCACTAGAGCTTGCCAATTTCATGGTTGCCACAGCCTGGTGTGATCAAGAATTGCAGGGAGAAGCTGGCCATGGTTACAAGAGTGTTGTTCATTGCTGTTGCACTCTTTTTCGGACGGTACGGCGGGTATGGGGGAGAAGGAAGACCAATGGCGGGAAGAGATGTTTGTGAAGGTTGTTGAGCCAGTGAAGAAATGTCATGAGAGTCTGTCTGTTTGATTGACACTTGGGTGTCGTGACTCCTGCCATCGAAGAGAAATTTTGTATGGATGAACATACCGAAGGTTGGTTGACCTTCTTTTTATAACAAATGACTCGTGAATCATAGTACCAATTTCTCGGCTACACAAGATGGGAAGGCTCCAGCTAACCAATATCTTGCAGCTTCCAAGGTGATATTGTATATCCCGCCGACTCCGCATATCCCACACCAAAGGTCCTGTACAGAACTACCTGCTCATTACAATCAGGACCAAAGCTGATGTAACTGGAAAACTTTGTTAATATACTGCCCCATGACAGCACCAACCGGCAGATTCTCATTCAGCTACTGGACGTTATATCAAGCGTGGGATATACAGAGTCGAAGGGATATATTCAACTGATGTCCACAAATTTGGAGAAGTTCGACAATTTGCAAATGGTCTGGACAGCTCGCGTCTTCCCCTCCCCTGTATACGACTAAGGCTACAACCCTACAATATAGCCTTCTAAGCCAATTGGATTTTCTAACTCATATCGAGCTGTATCAGAAATTGGCAGGGGGTAGGGAGGCGAGCTGTGCAGACCTTTTACAACTCGCTTCCTACAAAAGCTGTGACTCCTAGCAAGAACTCGCTAAATCCAGAAAGGTCAATAGACATCAATGAATTCATGATGAACGCATTTCTTGCAGATCTAGCGTTATTTTGCGCTGCGGGTAAGACGGAAGAGGCGCTACCTACTGTACCTAGGTACTCGAGGAGGTTTCATGTAAGGGCCGCCTATTCGGTATCTTAGTAAGTAAGCGGCCCTTATACGAAACCCTACAAGTACTGAGTTACACCACATGCCAGATTTATCGGGGGTTGCAGCTTCCTCGCTTGCGCCTGAGGGGTGAGCAGCAACGCAACAAAAAAAAAACACTCGGAAACGATTGACTTGTTCAAGTTTACGAACAGAATCGTGAGAGAATAGTGTTACATAAAATTATCCTGTGAATGATTAGACATTGATGACGTCCAACACCACTCTGGAATCCCAACAAAGTGACAGATGTAACGTTGTTACCCAAAATAGCACAGCCACAGATCTCCAAACCTTGTCCGCACAGTGTCCGCAAGAGGCCGATTAGCCGAGGCACCCATGAAGCCAATGAGACGGCGTCTCCAGAGCTTTCTATTTCGTACTTCTAGAAGAGGCACAAGATCAACGGGGAAAAGTGGATGAGTTTCCCTTGGCGTTGTTTGAATCCTTTTTTTACACTACGGAGCATTTACACTCGTACAAAAATGGTACCTGTGCTTGTGCTTGAATAATCCGGCGAGCTATGACGAGTATCGCGGGTCCCTATGCTATGCCTTGCTCCCTCCTTGACTCAAAGAAAAAGCATTGCGGCGCCCATTTTGGTGTTGTTATGTTGAGATCCTTTGACGAAGACCGAGTGCGAATCGTGTGATTAACATTCCTCATCCTGACTCCTGGTCACAATCACGGAAAATCCCCTGCACCTACAGCCGTCATCCATACCATACTTGCATGTACCCTCTCGCCCCTCGTATCTAATCAGGGGACCACCCAGCATATCACTACTTTGCGCCTCTGGTTATATCGCACTCAACGTTGGGACGAACAGAAACTCAGCGGCCAACACCATCTCCAACCCGCCGACCATTCCTACCAATATCTATCCTCGAACACCGGTAGTTGGCGCATGAGAGCATCGACCTCGCATCGGATACACCAACCTTTGTGCTTGGCCTTGGGCCCCTCACATTCGCTCGTTTTTCGCAAATCATGGACACCATCATTTCCATAGGGGAGAAACTGCTGTCCCTGAGGGCGGAAGAGTCCCCAACGGAAAGGCTGCTGGAGCTGCTGAAGAATCCCTTTAGCTCCCAGGTATGGAAATGCCCCTTTCATCCATTCCTTTGCTTTCTTTCCGAGATCCTAGATCCGTTGTCTAACTGTTTGATAGCTGGCACAAGAATCCGTCCTCGCGGGTTTGGGTACCTCCGTTGGCTTCACACTCGTCCTCGCCGTCGGTTTCTCCCTCCTGCGGCCATATAATTCTCTCGTATACGCCCCAAAGCTCAAAATAGCGGACGACAAACATGCGCCGCCGCCGATGGGAAAGGGGATCCTGGCGTGGGTTGGTCCAATAATGAAGACAAAGGAGCAGGAGTTGATCGGATTGATCGGACTGGATGCGACAGTGTTTTTGCGAATCCTACGCATGTGTCGGAACATTTTCTTGGTGGTAGCGTTTCTTGGTTGTGGGATCTTGATTCCCATAAATCTGGTCAAGGGCGACAAATTTAAGTATCAGAGTTGGCTCAGCAGACTGACGCCTGTCAATACGCGCGGGGAACCTAATTGGGGCATGGTGATATGTGCGTGGCTGTTCAACAGCGTGGTGTCCGGTTTTTTGTGGTGGAACTATAGGGTAATTCTAAGGCTACGGAGACAGTACTATGATACACCCGAATACCAGGCTAGTTTGCACGCGCGAACACTGATGGTAGGAAGAATGCCCTGACAAGCTGAACTAAGCTCACTAAGCGTTGTCTAGATTACCGATATCCCAAAACCCGTTTGCTCTGACGAGGGTATTGGAAGGCTGATAGACGAGGTTGTACCGACGTCGTCTTTTTCTCGAACTGCCATTGCCAGAAATGTAAAGGAACTCCCAGAATTAATTGAAGAGCATAATAAGACTGTCCGAGAACTCGAGAAGTATTTGGCTAGACATCTCAAAAACCCGGACGTTCTCCCGCCAAAACGACCCCAATGCAGACCATCAAAAAGAGACCCGTCTTTCGGAACATATCCGAAAGGAGAAAAGGTAGACGCAATTGAATATCTCACCGGACGAATTAAAGAACTCGAGATCGAAATCAAAGAAGTGCGCATGACTATTGATAGCCGAAACCCCCTGCCCTATGGCTTTGCTAGTTTCGAATCCATAGAAGAAACCCATAGCATTGCATTTGCTGCAAAAAAGAAACATCCCCAAGGAACTAAAATTGTATTGGCTCCTCGACCGAACGACATAATCTGGAGAAATCTTCCTTTGAGTAAAGCTCAAAGACGTCGACGACGTACCATCAACAACCTTTGGGTCGCGCTCTTGACCGTCCTCTGGATCGCGCCCAATGCCATGATCTCGGTTTTCCTCATCAATTTATCTAATCTGGGTCTTGTTTGGAAGGCTTTTCAACGCAGCTTAGAGGCTAACAGGACATGGTGGTCTATAGTTCAGGGTGTTGCTTCCCCGGCCATAACCTCGTTACTTTATCTGATTCTCCCCATCATTTTCCGAAGACTGGCCATCAAAGCTGGTGATACCTCCAAGACTGCCAGAGAACGGCACGTCACAGCGAGGCTTTATACATTCTTCGTCTTCAACTTTTTGATTGTTTTCTCAATTTTCAGTACCGCCTGGACATTTGTCGCCAATGTTGTCAATGGGACCAACAACAAGCAAGACGCCTGGAAAGTCATCGTTGAAGCAAATTTTGGACAAGCACTTTTTACGGCCCTTTGCGATATCTCGCCTTTCTGGGTCACTTGGCTAATGCAGAGAAATCTAGGTGCGGCGGTAGATTTGGCTCAACTATGGACACTGATGTGGAGTTTCTGCGTTCGAAAATTCTCAAGTCCAACTCCACGAGAAATCATTGAACTGACCGCCCCGCCTGCTTTCGATTATGCCTCCTACTATAACTTTTTCCTTTTCTATAGCACGGTGGCATTGTGTTATGGTGTGATCCAGCCTTTATCCCTTATAGCTTGCGCTTTTTATTTCTCCTTGGACCTCTATTTGAAGAAGTATCTTCTTCTTTACATCTTCATTACCAAGACCGAATCTGGAGGAATGTTCTGGAGGATGTTTTTCAACCGAATGGTGTTCGCTACCATATTATCTAACCTGGTTGTGTTTTTAGCGGCATGGGTCCAAGGAGATGGACGGCACATGGAAGCTTATTGCGTCGTTCCACTACCATTCATCATGATCGGCTTCAAGATCTACTGTTCTAAAGCTTTTGACGACAAGATTCATTACTATACCCAAAGACATATGCTCAAGGATCCTGAAGCCACTCGACACAACATCTTCAGCGCCAAGAAAGATAAACTTCATTCTCGATTTGGACATCCTGCCCTCTATCGTCCACTCATTACCCCTATGGTCCATGCCAAAGCCCAGAATAAACTGGCAGCTGTATACGGAGGTCGACTTACAGATGGTAATATCGCTGGCTCAACCGAATCCGCTTCCATTTCTGGATATTCAGATACGTACGCCCTAGACGCGATGCAAAACAACCAACCAGGCCGTAAAGCCAAAGCCGTCCCTGGTTTCGAAATGGTTCCTGAAAATCGTCTCGATTTCGCGTACTTCAAATCCCGCGCCGAGTTCGGCGATGAACACGGCGGCGCTGGAAATATCTACGGGAAAGCGGAAGATATTATACGCTCTGATACACCCAGTTCCATGGGGTTCGGATCCGATTCTCGACCTGCGACGCCCGTAGGTGGAATGACAGGACGTCAAAACCCTCAACAGCTGTTCGCCGATCCATTTTCTCCACCTCCTGTATCCTACGATTTACAGAGTGATGTAGGGGTGGGGATGGGTATGCAGACTCCGCCGCCTCTGAATGCGAATCAAAGGTTCTATCAGCACTATCGAAATGAAAGTGAGGGTAATCTGGTGAGCGAGGCAGCGGCGATGGGTCACTCACCACCGCCTGCATTTGATGGTACTAGAGAGGTGAGGAGACCGCCGGGGTCTGTGTTAGGCTTTGGAGCGCAAGCCCAGGGATATGGCAACGTGCCGCAGCATAATGTTGATGAAGTGGAGGTGGATACAGGGGGTTATGAATTTTACCGAGGGGCGAGGAGGAATCAACGTCATCAGAGTCCTGGCCCTGGGCTTTGAGATGTTGATTCGTACGCATCCCGGCTTGAGTGGTTTGAGATTTCTGGAAGGGGCCCAAAAGCGGTGTATGATATTAATTTCTTCTTTGGGATGAAGAAGGTTTTCACTTCAATGGTCCGTTGTTATAGAAGCGCGCTTCTTTTGCTGCATTTTCCGTGGGGACTTGGGTGCATTGGGAAAACGGAGTTTTTTTTCTTTCTTTCGGAGTTTTGAGCTAGCTGTTGCTAGTGTAGCTAATGTAGCTAATTGGCTGGATGAATGGGGTGGGTGACTTGGGAGGGAGTGAGGGAGGGAGGGATGATGTGTGTGGTAGATACGATTCTTGTATGAACAGGATTGGAAGAAGAATCGGAAGCACGTATAGTTTCAGAGTGGAAGAGAAGAATGAAGATGTTTGAAAGTTTCTTGTGTGACTTGTGTGAGCTTTGTGATTTGTGGGGTGGGAGGGTTGCTTTGTTGATGAACTTTGGGGTTGATATTAAGTTGTTGACTTGAATACTAAGGCGATTAGCAAGGTCGACATAGCGAGTGTATGGACTTACCACTTCTTAACTTGTTGACTCTTCTCAACAGTTTTTGTAAGGAACAGTAATCACATCATTATATTCAGGGGTGTTCAAGTGGCACAGAGGAGATGTGCAATCTCAATATAAGAGGTGTCCTCCAAATCTCTTTGGATTAACCAAAACCTATGTGGAGACTCAGGAAACCAGATTAAGGAGATGTGATAATAATTGGGTTATTTTCCGAGCTTTGTTAATTTTTTATGCTACATTGCTAGCTACTATTTACAGTACAGTACACTTTGCTCCTAAGTGGCTCACAGCCACTGGCATCAATGAGCTGAGCTCGTCAGGTTTTGGTATTCGCTTACTCCAAAATAGCATGCGTCTTCCTTAACTCTCTTCCACTCCTCATAGAGTCGTAGCAACATCTCCCTCACATTCCTCGCACAACAAATCCACCTCCCATGCTATTCCCAAGTCCCCTCAAAAAGCCCCTCTACAAACCACCCCCAAACTGCCTTCACAACCTCCACCACCCCATCCCTTCCATACTCCCCAACTCGCACTCGCACTTCCTCCTCCTTCTCCCTCTCACTCTCAAGAGGCGCCAACTCACCCACAAACCTAAAACACCTCTCACAATCATTCCAATGCTCATTCGCATGTCCACACCCTTCCTTACACCACAACACAAACTCCTTCCCTTCTCCTCCCTCTCCCTCCTTGACCTCCACCCTCCTCAACCAACAAACCCCCCAACACTGACAACACCTCATAAAACTCCCCCCCTCCCTAACCGCCCTACAATAACTCCCTTCATTCAAAACCCAACACCCATGTCTCAACCCCCTCGGATCCACCACCGGAATCCCCGTCCGACACCGACTACAAATCTGTCTCGGCGCAAGACTCTCCATCTCCCATCCCCAACGCGCAATCTGGCTCTCTGCACGGGCAACAACACGCACACGCTCTGCTTCTAGTTGAGCGGCACTGAGGGTTTGTCGGTAAGTGTAGTAGGCGGCGTAGAGATCGGCGCCGCAACGGCGGTTGCTGCAGTATCGTAAGGGGTTGGCGAGGGGTGGTAGGGCGCTTTGCGCGCGGGTGGTGCGTTGGCAGATGTGGCAGAGGAGGTGGGTTTTGTTGGTTGGGCGGTAAGGGAGGCTGATGGGGATTATTTGGTGAAGGCGGATGTGGTTTTTTGTTAGGGGGGGTGGGGGGCGGTTGGGGTTGCGGGGTTTGGAGGGTGCTGGTGGGGAGTTCATTGTTGGGTTTTTTGGTGGTGGGTGTGGTGAGTGTGAGAGTTTGGTTGTTTGTTTGGGTGTGTGGTTTGTGGATGAGAGTGGTTGGTTGTGGTTTTGTGGTTGTGAATTGTTGTGCTTGTGGTGGTGGATGAGTTGACTTGTTCTTTGGTGGTTGGGTTGTGAGTTGTAGGTCGAGGTTGGAGGTTAAGGCGTTGATGTTGATTGTGGCCGATATGAGAAGTAAACAATACGAGAAATACCTTAAGTTTAGCGTGTTATGAGGATGGGAAGATTAGGCGAATGTCCTTGTCGCCTAAAGTGATTGATGGTAAAGGTGAAAGTTTCGTTGGAATTATGACTGACTTCACTTTGAGAAAGTTTAAGAGTTAAGAGGGATATTGAATAGACGAAGAGGCGTCTGTTTGAATCTGCGTATAGCACGGGTGTAGTAGTGGTATTACTTTAGAAGAGAACGTGAGAGTGTTTTGGCTGTTTTGTGGAAGAGTTGTTTCTTCACTGTTTATAGGCTTGTACTTAGCATGTTGAGATACACTATGTCTTCTTAATAATGGTTTTCTGTATCCTGTCTTGACACAGATAGGGTTACTTTCATACATGTATATAAAATATCTGTCATACCATAAATTATCTATCTTCGTCTCTGGTCTATTACTTCCCATTTCAGACCCAACAACCCAATTCTAAATCCCTGGGTATGTTCTTAACATTCAAACACCTCCCCAACACCACTCATAGCTACCAATGTCCTCAAAACAGCTATGTGCCTGCTCAATGTATTACTCTGTTCCTCAGAAATTATTCGTGAAGTGGCCATAGATATCAAAATTCCTAGGAAGCTCATCGTGAATGAGTGAATGAGTGAATGAATCTGGCCCAAGGCTGGTACTATAGCACTAACAACTCACCCCACCAACATGTCCAAAAGCCAAACTCTACCGCCCCCCTTCCATCCCCCTCTTCAACGCAAGCACCTCATGCTTCGTAACAAAAACCCCACGATTAACACTATCCACACCCCCACCACTCTCCACCGCTCCACCCCCTTCAAGCGCATCCACCAAATCCCTCACTTTAGCCCCTTCCCAGGAACCCTCAGCATTAGTCCAGAACACGCGCTTGATGCCTACCGCGTGCATAGCTGTCACACATCTATAGCAAGGACGCGAGGCTCTGATTTCAGGCATTGAGGATGGTGTTGAATTGGGGGTTGGGGATGGTGATACGGAGGTATGGAGGTGAGGGGAGAGCTCGTCGTGGAGGGATGTGGGGGTTCGTCTTTCTTGAGGGGGGGAGGATGAGGGAGTGGGAGCAGGAGAAGGCGGGGGATGGAAGGTTTAGCGGGTTTGAGGGGTTGGGAGGTACATTGTCCTAGACGGGCGACGTAGAGGTCTGAACCTTTGAGGCGGGAGTCTTTGGTTCGAGATACTATGGATGGTTTGCTGGATAGAGTTGGTCTTCTGGTGATGAGTACTGTCTCTGTTTTTAAAGGGGTTTGCTGAGTGTGCTTTTTGTGGTTCTGGGATTGGTTAGTATGACTTGGCGAAAGATTGAGAATAGAGGGTACTGACCTTGTTTTGGTATTTTTGCTTGCTGATGAAGTTGTCCCTTGAGGAGGTCTTGCTGGAGGGTCCTAGCGAGGAGGATGTCTTGTTTATTCCAAAATCATTTGATATTGATAAATCCAACTTCCCTTTACACTGAGAGTGATAGGTCTCGTGATAGGTGTACGAATCCCCGTTCTCCTTCTCCTTCTCTTTCTTCTTCTTCTTCTTCTTCTCCTTCAGATAGAACCCACTGTCTTTCTCCTTGTCGTTCGACACGTTGGACATAGACTTGGAAACCTGGTTGACATGCACCCGATTCAAAACGCGACTTTTGAACCGAGTGCTTGCCACCGCAGGACTTTCCACCCTCCTCACTCTCCCCAATGACCGACTCGACGTACGCTCTAGGCGCGCTTGCTCGTAACTTTCGTTTTCTAGAATCACCCGGTAATAAGGAGAAGCACGGTTTTTCAAAGTACTTGGCGCCCCTCGCAGAGGTTTGAGCCGCCTGAGCAGCAGAAGACAAGGAGAGAGCAGATTGAATGGCCATCATTTCTGAGTGGAGAGAGAGTGTCTCATTGGCACTGCAACCATTGCCAATGGCCTCAAACGGTGTAAAAGTAGTAGACTGCAGATGATTATCCGGGTCCAGCTTAGACATAGGCTTCGGCTTGGACTTCAAACGTTGCTTGAGTTCTGCAATGGCAGGATGGGAGGACTCCAGCCTTGAGAGAGCCGCCGTCGAAGCCGGGACGGTGATAATTAAAGCCTTGGCCGATCACTTTACCGCCACGAACGATGATAGCTCCGTGGCGGTAGTGGAGAGGTGACAACTCGGCTTGAGCAAGGCAAAGGGAAAGATATGTGTCGTTGCGAGACATTTTGAGTTTAGATTGATGGCTGACAGTAGAACTGGAAAGCTTCTCGGATTTTGTGTTGCCGTTTTTGGGAGTGAGTTGACAATGTGATTTAGAGTTGTAGATTGGTAGACCGATGGAAGGGCAATGCTGATGTTGTAAGTGTGGTTATAATTGGAAGAGTTTGTGCTGTTGAGTCACATGGATTTGTAACCTTGCCGGCTCGCTAGCGTGCGCTACAAGGAATGGTTCACAGGCTACCTAATCAAAGTCGAAAAAAAAAAAGATCATGAAGAAAACCAAAATTTGTCTTGACGCCATTTCATACTATCTATGGGATAGCTACCCCATGAAGATCCTCACTTGATAATTATCTATCACAGCCTAACCATGGGGCGAATAAATTCCCGTCGCGCTAGAACGCCGACCCGCAACCAACGCCATATTAATCCTACAAAATCGTCCGCCCGAAAAACCACCGTGAGGTTATTTCCAAATGATTACAGAATCATTGGACCTTTATCAATTTTGGGCGCCTTTCTGTGTCCATCTTCAGCTTCTGTTGCCCATCTCGACTTCCATTCTTTCTCCTTCGTGAGTGCAGCTTCAAACGCTTCACGACATTCTGGTGGGAGTAAATCTTTCAACTCGTCAGAGACACCTTCAAGACCATTGAATGAGAGATCAACGCCGTGGCCATCTGGACCTGGTACACCAAGGTGAAATGACGGAGGAGTTTCAAAGACAGTGTCGATGATAATGTGATTTCGTGATATGACTGGATTGACAGGCGGAAGGATGGTCTTGGCTGCTCCAGTGCCCTTTCCATTCACAAGAATCTCAGCTGCAACGGCTTCATCATCAATATGCTCCCATCTAGCGTGAGTTGGTTGCATGGAAGCTGGATACTGCATGGTATTAGTGTGGACATCGTACACGCCATGAATATTTTTCTTGCGCATCTCCGTAAGCCTGGAGTTGAAGCCGCTGGTAAAGAGTTAGCATTTTGACCTTTCGAGAGAATAATCTGGCTACATACCTTGCTGCTCTACAATGCTCTAGCTGCCAATTGACATCATCAACCTTGACACGGCCTTTCTTACCATCCGCAACTTTGCCTGTTTGCATTGGAACGGTGGGAGCACCTGAGTGATATACAGAACTTGCTCCGTGCCACGCGACATACTGGTTTTTGTTGTATGGCTCCCCCTCTTTGAAAATGTCATTTGGATCAGCCAGTTCGCCCTCGGTGATGCCATCAGCTTTGGCCTTGGCGACCTCGTAATCGTCGATAATTCTCTTTCCACCTACGATGATTTGCGCTCCAAATTCGCGGAAGACCGACCTAGCAGTGACGATACCAATCGCGCGACCTTTGTAAGAATGTGGTATAAGTTCTCGGTCGATCAAGTCACGTTTCTCGTCATCATCAATGATGATCTTGAAGAGGCGTTTATGCTTGGTGAAGAAGAGATAACTGTCTCGGAAGCCAACGCATCTTGCTGGTTCGGTGGACAACATATAAAGTCGACTGCCTCTGCCTAGTACCGTAAAGGTTCTGCAACGATACTCCCGTCCATCTTGCAAGTGGCCCATCTTATCAACCTTCTTCTCGCCTTCAGGGTCCTCTGGCATATCAACCTCGTCGTTGATGACATCCATCATGTTGCCTTCCTTGTCGATTGGTTGTTGTGTGACGTGGGATGGTCCTCCTTTTCGCGCCCAACGTCCCCCTCCGCGTCCAAAGCCGCCTCCTCTACCTCGGCCTCGCTTCCCTGGGGTACCCGCCTCGGAAGCATCACGATCAGGCAAATCCCAATCAGGAGGCTTGTTTTTTGGTGGTCGTCCTAGACGTCGCTTGCGCACAACTGGCTCTGGAATTGGCTCTGGGGTCGCGGGCGCCGAGGCAGCATCAGAATCAGCCGCCGGCGTGCCTTCCTCTTCATCGTCTACATTCTCCTCCTCTACTTCATCTCGCGGACTGCTTGCATTCGGCGTGGGCGCATCGAGCATCTGCTCATCTTCCACATCATCGTACTGAGGGGTGTTTTCTGAGGCCATCGCGATTAGCTGTCGTTGCATGCGCCGGAGGATTTCCGCCGTGTCTACTTACTGAGCGCGGCAGCCGCATTTTTTGCGGCGGCTCTTCCAGGTCTCCTGCCCATTTTCTATGTTGTGAAAAGATTCACCCAAGTGGGTGGCTTGTCGTGATGACAGGTTCTCGTTCTCGATAAATGCAATGAAGCTTGAAAGACGCGCCAATGGAGCTTCGTACCAAGTTCACTAGTCCTGTCATTGGGTCGGCTGTTTTAGCATGGGGAATGTTTCTGCCTTTTCTAATGCCTCATTTCTAAGGTTCAATATTTTGCCTCGCTTCTTGCTTCTTATCTCCGAAAACTTTTATCAGATTCTGTTTTCAGCATTCACTACTTGCGAAAGCTGGCCGATGGGAAGTCTGAGCCCTCACTCTCAACACATATTGCAACGCCGACGGGTTGTCTGTTGCAGACCTGAATGTGCTTTGTACACGATGCTCAGCTCCGCCACTCTCAGCTTGCGATTGGCGTGTTATTTTCAGCTCCGTTTCGAGTCCATTCAAGTGCTTCAAACCACAAATGAAATGATGGAAATACAAACACTATGAGATTCAAGTTTCCGCTCGGGCTCTGCGACATCCCACCAGTCCCATCACATATTCCCATGTCTCTGGCCCTGGAAAGCTGTTGCGGAACAACCCCTTAATCAAGGACCCAACCTCGAGTGACCAGCGTCGGGCCCATCTGCATCTGCCATTCGATCTTCATCTACCTGTGTATTTCATTACGGAAACGATGAATGCTCACCTGTGGGTTTGCGTTGGCCTTTTCGCGGCAGTGTCACGATGGTCAGGGTCTCAGGTCAGCGCCCTTCTAGAGTGGCCAGAGATAGTATGGATAGTATGGTACATGAACGATACATTAGGCTGCCCCCATCGAGTATCTACTGTAGCTTCGTAAAGGGGGCTGAGATCAGACGATATATGCAGGGCAGCAGCAGAGTAATAGGGCCGTCGGTCAGCTTCCTTGTGGTCGCGTATGTGTGAGCGAGTATGACATGACATGGTCTCTATAAGAAGTTATGTTTCCCTTGTGGGATGACCGAGTACTCTCCAAAGCGCCATATGGAGTCTTTTTGAGTTTGGACATGGTGATGGCCTCATCGTTTCCTATTCGAGCTCAACAGCAGGCCGTTGACAGCCCTTTGTTGTGGCCTCTCTTTTGGGCGTTCGCTTGGGCTTGGCTGACCTGGTGGTGCTGGAGATACCATGATGCCATGCGTGAAGAGCGGATTCATCTGCACCTTATATTAGTAGCGAATGGATCATCCATACAGCTCCGAAGGAAATGCAATGACGTATTTTGGGCATCCCAATGCGGCGGTTGGCGATTGTCGAAAGTACACAAAGTACCTTTTCGGTACCTGAGTACTAGGTACTTGAGGGTTCGCGAACGCTGGTACACGGTGATGCAGAGAACCTTGTCGATAACTGGAACACAGCACAGCCTCCCGGTGGACAAGAAAAGTGGCAGAGATTCATTTTTTTGTCTCTTAGCGTAAGTAAATTCTAAGTACTAAAATGTTTAAAATATCTGGAATAATTGGGTTTATTGTACTATCGTTTTCGATAAATTATTTTAATCATTGTAAATAAACAATATCATATAACTTAATGGTTTTTAGTTAAGTTAGGATAAGATAAAAGAGGTCTCTGCCACTTTTCTTGTCAACCGGGAGACAGCTTCAGGAGTACCAAAAGGTACGTCGCTGCTGGAATACCACAGGGAGTACGAGTACATAGGCGGTGGTATCACTGTGCAGCTGGCCAAAGAACTACCCGCACAGCAGTTACGAGTACAGTTGCAGCCATGCGCTTCCTACAGTACTTTTGCCTCCCCTGGGATGGCATGCAAAGGGATGGTTGATGGGATGAAGGCTGCGTGTTGCTTATAAACTGGCCAACGCCCTCATTGCTGCGCTTCCTTACCATCCCAATCCCATCCAATATAACATACTTTGTATCTTGTGTGTTCCTCCCGTTCATTGATACTTGCCATTGTTATTGCCATTGCCACCATCCGGATCCCGCCCAAGCAAAATTACTACTCAAGTAATATCAAAGAAGAGCTCGAGTCAGTGGGGTTCCCTGTCCGCATCTGAGTCTGGGTGTCAGTGTCGAGCCAGTGGAGACCAGGAACTCGTCCAGGCAGGAGCCATCCTGGAACCTCCCCAGTATTCAGCCTTGAGAGCACTGTCATAGGACAAAAAAGCAGAAGCAGAAGCAGAAGCACAAACACCTAGGCACTGCACTCTGCCTGCTCCTCCACCACGCGATCACAGCCAGCCATATTCACACCCAACACGCCTCTGTACCATACGCTCCATACCCCCAGCCCACTCGCTCTCCTTTCAACCTTTCAACCTTTCCACCCCCTCTCCTCTCCCACCAGTCAACCGATCGTCCGCAGAGTCGCCTCATCATCACAATCCCGCCAGCTTCCCAACAAGCTTTTTGGATGTGGTCCGATGTGTGTTGTTGGTTGGCACATGCTGATTTAAGTACGGCGGTACCTAGCGAAAATCTCTGGGGCACTAATACTAATAAATACTAAGCCATCTTGACCTGATCGCGTCACTTCTTGAGCCCATCTTCAAACCCTCATCCACCCCCTCAACAGCTCAAGCTGTCCAGACAACACCACAAGGACTGCCGCAGCTGCTCTCACACCACCATCATACTTCTCAACGCTTCGGCGGGATTCAAAGCGCCTCTTCTACAGTATTCTCGAGCTTGCGCCGCCTCCCGCAGTACTTACTCCTCGGATGAACATCAAAACTACCCATTCACCTCCCACCCGCGAACCATCTTGATCGCCACAAATTGACCCGAGATCCCCTCAACACAACTCAACTCGAAGCTTGAAGCAAGTTCAAGTCCTTCAAAATGACGGGCCCTGAGAGCGACTTGCTTAAGCAAGCTACACAGGCAATGATGGCAAGGTACGCAGGCGAACACCCCATATTTCTTTTAAGGTTCTGGCAGGCCAAAGAGGTGAGGAGATCTCCTGGCATCTGTGGTTGCATCTAGCGATGCTGCAGTACACAATACTGCCCAGATCGGACGCTCTGGAGATGTGTGCTTTGTTGCTCTTCACGCGGGTGTTTTTTTCCTCCATAGCGATGTTCACTTGCACATGCTTCAAGGTCAAACAAAGTTGACAGTGTCGGGCCTGCTCATACGCGGTAATCGGAGACTCCTACCGGCGCACCACCTCCATCCCACCTCAGAAAAGAGTGCAATCTGCCTAACGTCATCTTGAGCAGAGTACGCCGCAAAATGCGATGGAATCATGAACTGAGCCATTCTATCATTGCTGGCGGCGTGGGGTCGTCCATTTCCCCGAAAATCATGCCTCACCCGTTACACCCCGCACGATCCACCCACGGTTGTGGGCTTTCAAATATTCGGCATGGTTTTGGCTAACCTCTTGCGCAGACCAGACAGAGCAGCAGAGAGAGACGATGACGGCAACGACCATATTGATTCCGACACTCCCCGCTCCGGTATCGCAACTCCACAGCCCGATCCATCAGACAAGAGATTGCCTGGAATTATGCACAGTTACTTTGGACAGGTTGGTGCAGGTTCTTTTAAATGTCCCAGTTCTGCCATTGAAACTATATATTCTCCTCTCATTGGCAGCATCAAGTCCCAAGCACCTGTGTCCACCCTACCCGAGCCGAAAAACATGGGTTCCACAGAGCCATGCTTGTCCGTTGTTCCAGACTCATCTTCCATGAGTGTGGGTGCACAAGACAGCAAAGCTAGTAAAGCTGGGAGAATTCCCCCTCTCTCTTCCAATGACGGGCTGGAATTTTCCCATGTGTCTAAACAAGCAGAAAAGAATGTCTCTTTCCATTCGTACCCGACACCTCCTGTTTCCAAATCTCCTTCTTTACACAAGTTGAAGTTGAGCGAGCCTAGCCTGGAGGATAAGACTAGGTGGGCGAGAAGATCCAGCCTTTCATTCTCTGCGCACAAAAAGAGCACATCGGATTCAATCCCATCAAATGCTCGTCGAGCCTCATTATTACCACTTTCCAGCATTGTCACAACTTCCAATGTTCTAGCTACACATTTCTCGAGCCCTAGCGATCACTGCCCTGCTTCAGCACCCAGCACTCCTGTACACTCTCGTTTAACTTCACATCTTAAAGAATCACCATCATATGACCGGCTCAAAAAGCTAACTGATGAATCTTCAAACGAAAAGAGCGTTCCACCAACCCCGACACGTGCTTTGTCAAACAATACGGCCAAGTCCGATGCCAGTGGTGGTTCTGACTCGGCGGCAAAGGAATCCAAGGGGCAAAACGGGAACGGTGTTAAAGCAACAGCAACAGAAGAAGTACTATCCGTGCCAGCTGTTCCCTCTACAGCTGGAGCAACGGCAGTACCTGCACCACAGGCCAAGGGTAAACTGACAGTGAAGATCACGGAGGCGCGAGGTTTGCGAAAGTGCAGAGAGCCTTATGTTGTTGCTGTGTTCCAAAGAAACGAGCTAGTGTCGAAGGGACCTCTTCCTGAAGCTCACGATGAAAACGCAGTTGCTATCAGTAGCCCATTGGGCGGTATCCCAATTACACGCACCGGAAGCGATTCAGGTCGTCCAATGGCGATTCCCATGAAAAGTCGACAAAGCAGTAACACCAGTCTCTCGGACCACCGTGATTTCAAGAAGAAAGGTCGCAAGTCTTTCACGAACCCAAAGTGGGACACTGAGGCAATTTTGTAAGTGGTATCCTACCTTTATGGCATTCAACTTGCTAACATTGATCAGTGACGTTGTAGGCCCTGATACTCGCATCAACCTGACTATCTATGATCAAAGTAGTGCAGCCGAGGAATTTTTGGGCCATGTTGACCTCGACGCCAATTTCTCCGAGAAGAACGATGCCCCTCTAATTGGATGGTTTCCACTTCGTGGCAAGAACGATACCGAGACGGGTCTGTTTGGCGAGATTTTCGTCGAGATCACGTTTCAACGAACTGAAAAACGGCACTACGGACCTGAAGATTTTCAAATACTAAAGCTCATTGGAAAGGGAACGTTTGGCCAAGTATACCAAGTTCGAAAGAAGGACACGAAACGTATATACGCCATGAAAGTTCTTCAAAAGAAGGTGATTGTCCAGAAGAAAGAAGTTGCTCATACAGTCGGAGAACGTAATATTCTAGTCCGAACCGCTATGGCCGACTCACCTTTCATCGTTGGCCTCAAGTTTTCCTTTCAGACGCCAACCGACTTATATCTTGTCACAGATTTCATGTCAGGTGGTGAACTCTTCTGGCATCTGCAGAAAGAGGGTCGTTTCGACGAGAAGCGCGCAAAATTCTATATCGCCGAACTTATCTTGGCACTTCAACATCTCCACATGCATGACATTGTCTATAGAGATTTGAAACCAGAGAATATATTATTGGACGCCAACGGCCATATTGCCTTGTGCGATTTCGGTTTATCCAAAGCTAATTTGACAAAGAACGCTACCACTAACACATTCTGTGGCACAACCGAATACCTTGCTCCCGAGGTTCTTTTGGACGAAGCTGGATACACAAAGATGGTTGATTTCTGGTCTCTGGGGGTTTTGGTCTTTGAGATGTGCTGCGGCTGGAGTCCTTTCTACGCCGAAGACACTCAACAGATGTATAAGAACATTGCATTCGGAAAGGTCCGATTCCCGCGGGATACATTGACAACAGATGGTCGCAATTTTGTCAAGGGTCTGCTTAATCGAAATCCAAAGCATCGGCTGGGTGCTCAGGACGACGCAGAGGAATTAAAGCGGCATGCGTTCTTTAATGATATCAACTGGGAGTCACTCACCAAGAAGTTGATTACACCTCCCTTCAAGCCAAAGTTGAAGTCTGAGACGGACACCCAAAACTTCGATCCCGAGTTCACGAACGCTCTGATGGGAGCATCATCGCTCAATGCACGTGCGGCAGCCTTAGCAGCAGGAATCGAAACCTCAACACCTCTCTCGCCAGGCATGCAGGCCAATTTCAAAGGTTTCACTTTTGTTGATGAAAGCTCTTTGAACGAACACATGCAAGGAAGAGGTAGTAAAGATGATTACGATTATATGGACGAAGATGAGAAGAGAGAACCCGATTGGGATGAGTCCCACGGCAAGAAGCGAAGCGAATCTGGTGACCAGATGAGCGGCATTCAGAAAACCAACACAAACGAAGACAGCACTATGTTTAATGGGGGGCATTTCGACATGTAAATTGATTGTGAAGCAACAGCATTCTTTTGAGTTTTCATACACGAGTTCCCTTTTTATTTACATATGCTCGCATAGGGCCGGAGTCGTTTTGCACTTGCATCTGGGTGGAGTCTGGGTAATTTGAGGAGAAGAGAGCACAGATTGGCTATCGAATTTCGAGAACGAAGCGACACAAACTGCATTGGCTTACAGGGTCCTTTCTTTCTTTTATGTTTGGTTTTCCAAATGGCGATGAATCGGCGATGGATGAGGTAGTCTTGTTCCCTACATCTGTCAATATCCAGCCACATGTCACCCAAAAGAGGATATTGAAGTATGTAATTTGACTCAGCTGCAACGCTTTTTCCATGTGGCTTTTTCGGCTCAGTATTTTCTTGGCAGGAAAGGGTGGCATGAAAGGACTGTACTGGACTGGCGTGTGTGTTTTTGCGTTGCATACATGATATGATGATGGTATTGGTTTTTTTTTCTGTGAAGGGCAACGAAGGAGATGAGAAAAAGAAAAAGGAGCAGAAGCATTGGCCAGGGAGGGGATGTGTATAGGAAGAGAGGAGGAGTTGCATAGGAAATCATCATCCTTCGTCATTCTTTCGTTCATTCTATTGCCTGTCCGGTTGTGGATTGATTGATTGGCTTTGATTGGTGGATTGAGACTTATACTTTGTGTGTTCTTGTCGCAATGGTAAGTTTTCTTTCGCTTTGATGAAGGGTGAAGGGTCTTGAGTGCTTTGTGGCTCTTTGCTTTCTAGGTTGGTTGGTTGGTATGGATACTATAGGGGTGTAATACCATGATAATGTAATCATGTATCTTTGTCCCTTCCTCTCCTATTGTTTGTGACATTTGTGGCGTGTTAATGTGATTGTGGTGTTGTGAGTTGAGTAAGTAAGTGAGTGAAGTGAATTGAAGGGTTGGTACAGTAAGGGCTAAGCGAGAGTGATTTGATGATTTGATGATCTGATGCTTTGACTACCAAAAAGGAAACCTTGGGATAGCCTATGTATAGTAAATATACTCGAGAGTAATGAGCCTTCCAGTCTTTATCTACCTCAACTGGAAATAAGGGTTTTGGAGTTTGGGGAGGGGTTTACATTACGTTACAACTTACTGTAATCTTACCTGTTTCACCCACTTCATCATCGCTCCCTTCCTTTTCTCTTTCAGGCGTGGGAATTAATGTATTGCTATAATTATCTTAGTGTATTTGGGGGATTCATTGGTGTTTGTGGGGTTTGTTGTTTGGGGTGGTAGGTTTGTGTGTGAGGGTTGGTTTTGGATAGGATGATGGAGGATAGTGGGAGGACTGGATAGAAGAGGGGAAACCAGAAAATGGAGTATATGTAGGTAAACAAGCAGCGCTCGGAATGAGTTGGGTTGAGTTGAGTAGGGTACCACTTCTCAACTTAACTCAAAGTAGGTTTTTAGACCTACTTAACTCAACCCGCCAAGTACTCAAGCGACTCTGAGTACTACTTAAGTAGTATGGAGTACACCAGTCCGAGCCTCGGCCGGGCTGTCCGACGACTCGGGCTTCGTCGGCCCCTCACCTCCCGTCTCTGTAAGTCAGGCTAGGAAATTCAGGTATGTATACGATAGCACAGTGCAAAGACATACTAAGTATTGTTCTAGCGAGCGGTGATTTAGCTAAGGGCTTATTATATTAATATTATCTTGCGGAATAGGAATAGTCTCCAAAAAGGAAACCTTAGGGTAATGTTTTGGAAGGCTAAGGGTTTTTTATAGATAAGGTTAACATGTACTAGGTAGGTACTAAAAGATGTTGTATTAATTCAAAGATAATTTATAGTGAAATACTGTAGTAGTACGTGAGTAGTCACATCAACTACTTCGCTCAACTTAACCAAACCCACTACTCAAACTTAACCCCTTTTAACTCTAAGTAACTCTGAGTAGTACTCGGGTTGTTGAGCAGTGTAGTTGAATGCTGTCAAAACAAGATTGATGTTGGATTGAAAGATTTGGAATTGTATGATACTCTGGCACTATTGATCTTGCCAAGCTAGCGAGCTCTCTGTCTGCCATACTGAATGGAACGATCGGGTCAATAGCATTCGTACAAAACACTCTAGATAAGATCCATAATCGCACATCCCAAAATAACACCAATTCCCAACACATATTCCTCCATCAAGAAACCCATGAACTTCCCCCAAAAGCCAGGCTCTTCAACCTTCTCATTCTTACTTGGTTGTTCAACAGTGATCTCACAGTTATCGGCATTCACAGGAGGTTGTTCCTCCACCAACCTGACACAATTTTCACAGTCGTTCCAGTCCTCATTCACATGTCCACATCCCTCCTTACAGAAAAGAGTGTATTTGACATCCTCCTTCATTCCCTCCGTCTTATTTATCTCGTGGCGTTGGAGTTTGCATAAAGACAGGCATTTACAGCACACCATGAAGGAACCTCCTTCTCGCACTTTCTGATAATAACTCCCCTTGTGGCTTTCCCAGCATGGGTGACTTAGATTCGCTGGGTCCTCCATGGGAATGAAGGTACTGCATCGCGAACAAACATGTAAGACGATTTCGTAATGTCTGTAGAGATAGTATTCAAGTGGTGGCTCCAGTAGAGGGGCGTTTTTCTTGATCCGACTACAGTTGCGGTATTGATTCCTGCATCGGTATAAATCGTGTCCGCACTTCTTGTTGCTGCATACAAGACTGAAATTTCTACCACCCTTCGTGGAGTCTTTGTGCAGTAAGTAGTTCTTTGGTACGCCAGTCGTACGTTGGCATTTATGGCAGATGACTGACATGCCCACGTAGATAGCCTGCAGAGGCCGACCTATGGGGATTACTCGCCGTAATTTGATGCCGTAGGCATCGTGGTAGTCTTTGAGGAACTTTGAGAGGTGGTTTTTCTTGGCTTTCCAGTCCTGTAGTCCGGTGGTGAGATCGAATTCTCCTCTCAGATCGACTTCTCCTCCGAGGACTTCGTATAGTGCTACTTGCGGGGGTAGAAGGAGGAGTCCGTTGCCTATGATTGCGTCCATGTTGTGTATTGTGGTTGCGTGGAGATCAGATGGGCCTGCGCTGGTCTTGGTGTAGGTCTTTTTGATGTGAGTAGTCTGGACGGCGATTGGAACGTTGACTGGGAGCGGGGAGATGAATGTGTGGAAAGAGATATATGCTTGAAGATCTAGTAACACTAAGTGGTAGTGAATGTCCAAGATCTCCTCCAGTGCTCTCAGCATCTTAGTGTTTTGGGTTCCGATATATTGTATACGTTAGGATGTGTGTATTCACTATGTAAGAGAGAGGGGCTCTTAGGCTTTTGTAGTCTACTTCTAAATATCAGTAGTTTTCCTTCATGTTTGTAAGATTCACTGTTTAGACATTTGTAGAATTTTAAACAAGGAAACGTTTTCTGTTTCATCATTTCTTTCTTGTGTACTATATTATGAAATATTGATATTATTACGGGTTTCAATCAAATGTGGATTTCGTTTTACAAGTACTGATTTACTCTCGCGAATTGAAGCTTATGTTAAATTCAACTGTAGGTTGAAGAGATGTCACTTATAGGCTTGCAGACTTTTCATTATCGTTTTGCTCTCACTTGAATTCATGAGTGTAATAGCTGAGCGATTGTGGTATTCTCTGTTTGATCTTCTAATGTGATCCTAACAATCGTGTTACTGTATATGCTTGCTGAAATCTAAGAAGAGACACTCCAAATATGTGGTGTGCATCTGTTAGACTTGTTCACAGAAATTTGATCAAACATAAAATAAACCATACAAGTACCAACCGCTCTAGTCCTCAGCTCGTGAAATTGTTTGTTTAAAAGTGGGGTAGATCTACTTGCAAAAGAATGATTATTATTCTCTACGATCTTGAGAACCAGATACAGCAACTCAGACTTTGTGCTCTCCTATTCTCCTTTGAACTTCCATGTACCTTTGTTTTCCTTATACTCATATTCCTAATAGGAAACGTGATTCTAGAATAAACATCTGGATGAATAAAGATATTCACGGATTGTGAAAATGAAACAAGTGCACACCCTATACGCAGATCTCACCATGGAAATTTTTCTAAAATACTTCTTTAGTAGTATCCTTATAAGGAAGCGAATATTTTTGTATGTATATGTATATCTCCAGCGCAGGCTCCCTACATAGATTAAAGAGTCACGATGATGGTAATGTTATTGGGTTGAAAGGGTATTGGGTACTGAGGGTCATGGAGAATTGATTGCATTGTAAAAGGTAGCTATCTAAGGTGTTTATATAAAGAGTGTAAGGTTTAGGCAGACATGAAGCATTTAGGCAGCAGAACTATAAGTGGATCAAATAAGGAAGTGGAGCAAAAGAGAAAGTAGACCCAGCACAACAAATGTATATAGTGTTGAGGTTAAGTGAGTGAGAGCCTCATTTTCTTTGTTGGTCTAACGGCAATTTAGGACAACAAAGGAATTAAACCCTTCTCTTTGATCAGTCTTTTTTGATGTTTCTGAAGATACGACCAAAAGTATTTAGCGACTAGAAATTCCATGCATGTACAAGTAGTAACAGATATATACTCAATCTTACAGTATTTGTGGAGAAGTAGTTTTCTATCCCAACATAGTTGTTCTAGGTTGGTTTATATAGCAAAATACGATTTAGAACTACGTATCTGATTTCCAACTAATATGCCACTAAAACTCAAAAAGAAGTCTTTGAACTGGCCTTTTATGCTGGGGTCTAAAGAACTATAGAAGAAAATCGGATTGTGAGAAAAAAAGTCATTTCCAATTATATGTGTTACAACTGCTCAATAGAAATCGAGTCAACTTAAGTACCTAGATGTTTTGGATTATTGGATTCATTTATCTTACGGTTTTGTAGATTTCTAGAATCTGGAGAGAGATATGCAAATATGATATACTGTACCTCTTTTCACCCATGAAATCCCAATGAAGCGAATGTGAAGGAGATTTTAAACGACCTCTCAGGTATTAATATTGGTGAGCGGTTGGAAAGGAGCACAACTTCAACTAATCCTCGTAACGGATTAAATACATCAAAGACTTCCCACAGCTGATTCTTTCGTAACTTACGTTAACTTACCAAAAGTCTCTTTGATCTGCAAGTATTGTCTCTTCTTAGGCCAAGATGTATAAGACAGAGAAATAGGTAATGAACAGCTTTAAATCTAGGCCTCTCAAATCTTGTTCTAATTAGCTATAATCTTGAAAACAAACTTTTGGAAAATTACTAGAGCAAAATTCATGACAAACAGCTTATTCTGTGCACATGAACAGAACAAAGGAAGAAGTATATCATCGCTACTATTTCTCTCTAAGCTTGCATGACCAAACCAGTTAACTCAAGTAAACCATCATCAAGTTCATTACTATAACAAAAGTTTTACAAACGCTAGGTCTCAAGTCAAAGCCCAAGTGTCTACTCTGTGAACAGAATGACGCTTTGGAGTCAGACCCCGTAATTTGCAAAGAGTGTGCGGATAGGTTCAACATAAATACTGATCCTAAACCTCTCATTATAAAGACTACTTGCCTAATAGTAAACAGCGGCAATGAAAGACCTCCACAAGAGGCGAGTATCAAGGCCACGCAAAGGCTTGATACCCATCCTCCGCGTCTCACTGCGGAGACTGTCCGCTGGCCAGACTTTAAGTAATCCTAATCTGGCATTTCTCAAATCTACTAACCCAAGAAATTGATTCAATTAAAAACATTTAAATATACAAGTGGTACAAATGTGACAGTCCAAAGTGCATGAATTTATTTCTCAGTTGTGGGGCGTAAGGATATCGTAAGCTGGCCACTATGTGCAATCGCTCAAAGAATGGGAAAGTATTTATCTGGGGCATCTACGAGCAATCTTACACGTTTTTGTTCATGTGACATTACACTGCTATATAAGCGTTTGTAGACTAACTGGCTACCTTCTCTTCTCTAATCAATTAAATACCCTCAAAAGAGCCAGGCACTAACTGCTTCAAATCCTTAGCCCTTACGACTACTTCGAGTCCTGGGTGAACTGATAGTATTAATCCTTGTCTCTCCCAACTATATTATAGAACTTATTCGCTAAGCTTCGCTTACCTCTGTGACTGCATCCAGTAACCTTTCACGTGACTGTCATATTAAAGCTCAAGTCACTTTTATATAGTAAAGAATATCAAGCTTCTTGAAAAAAGAATGACTAAAGAGTGCCGTATTAGTCTAATTGAAAAAAGGGTAGTTAAATATATTAATGAAGTGCAGTATATCTATTACTGTATCGCACGCTTTGAGCTATCTTTCACTTGATTAAGAATCAATTATTTGATTTTGGACTCACCAAAGCCTTACTGAGAAACAACTGAACAGTGCTCGTAATCAAGATTCAAGAAACTAGCTACTATATTAGGTTATTAAAATCTGTTGGAAAGGTAGCTCGCAAGATACAATGACCTAAAAATGCCTTGCGTTCTGTTATCTTTCTCGTGCTCTTAATTAAGAATGAGATACTTTTCCTGAGAATCAGTAGTAATATTGAATAGAGGGCATATATCTTAAGAGAAGATCCCAGGTTCATTTGGATCTGGGCCAACAGTTGGTGCCAGGGTCAAAGTGTTGGAGATCTTATTATTCACCTCCTACCTCGTGATATGACGTGCTTAAATTATCTATAAGTACTAAAGATGACAGGTCGTTTGCCCTAATAAATCTTAAGCCAGTTCTCCTCATTAACTCCACAATCGGTACCCCTAACCAACCGTATGCTTACCACAACAAAGTTTCATGATGGTTTTCAGTCCACAAACATCGTTTTCCTTGGAAGGAACTGATATCCGCATTCCATCCTGTGATCTAGGCACATTTCAACCAGATCCCAGCCTTAACCCCGATACCTCCGTCAAGGATTCCGTTCTACAAGCACTAAAGACAGGCTATCGACATATTGACGCTGCACTCGCTTATGGATGGGGATCTGTCGAAAGGGACATTGGAGATGCTATTCGAGAAAGTGAAATTCCCCGTGAGGAGCTGTTTGTGGTAACTAAGCTGTACGTGCTCCTTTAATACAAGCTAGCGAATTTCTGCAATCCCCTACAACTAAATTTCCCATTGCCCACTTGCTAGTCACAATTGCTTCCATGCTCCCGAGGACGTCAGTGTAGGCATGGAGATGAGTCTGAAGAACCTGGGACTTGGCTACGTTAAGTCAGACCCTTCTATTGTATGTTCCACCGTAATTGACGAAGTTTACTTTCTAGTGGACTTGTATTTAATGCACTGTAAGTTCTGTCAATTGATCCTTTTACTTTGTCTGAATAAAATATTTGAAACAGTTCCGTATGCATACGTCAGAACAGAGACCTACGGAACACAAAGGCGTCCTGATGGCAAGGCAAGTGACCCACTAGCACCCGTCTAGAGCCCACTTGATTGACGCTTCAAAAACTGATGTGTTGCAGCCACTTATTGATATTCCCCTATCCAAAGCATTCGACGAAACTTGGGCGGCCATGGAGAAATTGGTGCTCAACGGGAAGACACGATTGATCGGTATGTGGAAATCAATTTGTTGCATACCTCATCTAATGAGAATGCGTATAGGCGTTTCCAACTTCTCCAGTCCAAAGTTGGCAAGATTGTTGAAAACTGCCAAATTCCACCCGGTTGCCAACCAAGTCGAATTACACCTATACTTCCCCCAACAGCCTCTATAGGACTTTTGCAAAGAGAATAAGATTCACCTCATAGTGCACAGTCCTTTAGGTGGTGTGCCAATCCCAGTACTCGTAGGAAGAAAAAGCCCTGGTCGTTTAGAGGATCCTCTCGTAAGTTATCCCTGATAGACAAATCGACGAAAAACCGGTCAAACCGGCCACTAAAAGAATCACAGGTAAAGGAGCTAGCGAAAAAATATGGTAAAACTCCTGCTCGGATTATTCTTTGCTACACCATATGCCGTGGCATATCAGTTTTGCCAAAAAGCAATAATATCTCGCGGATTTCCGAGAATTATCAAGTCTTTTTGATTTGGACGATGAAGATTTTTGAAAGATAGACATTCTCGTGGGACCCCGAGGGGAGAGTGGGGTCAGAAACTTAGAGATGACAGAGTACTTGGGTTTTGACAACTTCAATGAGGAGTTTGAAGAACCTTAAGTTATCTTAGTCTATTTTTTGATGATGAAAGGGCGGGGAATGTGTCTCACGAAATGAGCTTTTCTGAATTTGGCTCACCTAGAACAATCGATGCATGGACTCTTTTATCTTGCACTAGACCTCATATTTGATGACTCAACAGCCCTCACGAGCACAATAAAGAAGTAATGGCCGCTCCTATGCTAGACCCGTGCTTTGTCATAGCAAGCTGAATTTCCTTTTCTCCAGCATCTCCAATGCCATCAATCTCGCGGAATACCTCACGCATATATTGCTCGAATCCTGGGTAGAGTTCTATCAGACTACCATCGACGGCAATATCAACACCCCTATTACCAGGATTCTTTTTAGGTATGCCACCGCTCTTCAGTATCACCGCAGCGGTTGCCACGCCGGCCAGCCTTGCTGCCCGCTTTCCGATTGCATGCGCAATAATCTTTGTAGCTCTCGCCTCCTTCAATGTTATGTCCGTAACATGTCTATCAAAGCTAACACTCATAACGTTTCTGAGGACTTGTAAATTCAATGTGCTGTCTGACTCAGGAATGGACAGGATACTTGAGTCAATGCTCCATCTTTTATGAAGAGAAGAGACATAATGCGGATCTCCTTCGGCACCCCAACCTGAGAAGCATTCACTGGGGGCTGAAGCTTGCAAAACGACCAAAGCGAGTCTGAGTAGTTCGCCTAAGAACATACCCGAGACTCTCTCTTCGAATATTTGAAATCCGGGATTGACACTGAATTTATCCAGTTCGACGTCAAAAGATGTATTAGGAAGTACTTCCGTATCATTCAAGGATCCCCAATCGGTACTGACAAACATCTCTCCGGATGTTTTATCATAATCTCCTTCAAGACGTTTGGTGATATTGGAAATCTTCTCTAGGTAAACTCCATTCGTACCGGTACCAAATATAGTTCCGATCATAGTCCGCGCTGAACCTGGAGGCAATGTGTATGCTCTTAACATCATGGTGCCAACTGCATCGTTAATTAGAGCAGCAACCTTAACAGGCAAGCCGAGTAGTGTGAGTTCGATCTGTAGGAGATGACAGATATCTTTTCCAATTGCATCAGGGATATTGAAGCCTTTAGTCCATCGTAGGAGGGTTCCTGAATTAAGGCCTGTCTGAAGAATAGGAAAAGAAAAAGTAAAGCCCAGAGTAAGTGGTTCTTGGTTCGAAGCCTGAGCGATTTTATCCGCGTGGTGCGTTGAAAGGAGTGTTTTGACCTGGGCAGCGATGAAAGAGAATAACATCGCAGAATGCGAGGCGACCATAATTTCGCGTGGTATGGCTACTTTTAGATGCTTTGCTGAGTATGTCGTATCTCTATACAGTTCAACTGAGCAGACCCTTAAGTTTGTGCCTCCAAGATCAACGGCAAGTGCAAACCCCTTTCGTTCATTAGCTTCACCTAACCCAAACTGGGTACATGATACCTTTTCAACACCCTTCGTAATACGGCTAACATAAGTTGGAAACTGACACACAGTATCAGTAAAATCTTCAATACCCGACTCTAATCCGCCTTCCGTTAGCAGTTTGCGTGTGGGGGAACCGAGATTGAATTGAAGACTAACTCAAATCGCTTATAAGTACGTCAACACACCGACGGGCATCTTCATCTACATACTCAAACTAGGCAGCAATATTTTGAGCATATTCCAAGGCAGCCATAGCTACAGAGATAATCAGATTATGTTGGTAACTCGTGGGGAAGTGTCAGAAGGTTGATTAAGGATGTATCAAGTAACCAGCCTTACCCAACGCAGATACATACAATATTATTTGCGGTTATCTACCTTATACTCATACCCTATGATCCGTGAATGTTTCTGGGTCCTGCTTACCGATTCATGTCACACGAAATCTCATTGATAGGCCACGAAGTTCTCCGCTCAGTCATACTAACACTGAACCAACACTCACGCCTATGTTAGCATATTTTGTACAGAACTATACATGGGTTTTCATAATTTCATAAAGTTGGGTATATTCACTTTTTGATCTATAAATTGTCGCTTGATTAAACTATTATCATTAATATTGCTATATTTTGAGTCGGTTTTCTGATATCGGAGAGACAGATAGCCCATGGAAGATTAGACTTAGCTCACTCTCTTTGTCTTGTAAACAAAGAAACCAAGTCGCCACACGTGGATTTTATGATACGAGCTGTGAGAACAACAGACTCTTCGTTCCATAAACAATGCCATTGTAAGCACGTAAAGAACTCCTTTGCCACCTCTCCCAACCTGCTTACCAAACCCACCACCGCAACTGCAACGATGAAATTCAAGACTCTAGCTAAGCTTTTAGGACGACTAGGTCTCAAGAAAAGGCCAAAGTGCCGATTATGTGGGAAAGAAACTCCGGATTTCGACATCAAAACTTGCTTAGATTGTAATATAGAGGTCGAGCGGACGTCTCGTGAAATCCGGGAACAGCGGAAGATGTGGCACGCTTGGAGAGAAGCAGTTGATAAAAGAGATGGCCGCTAGGTTATCTTACCGTATCTGCAGATCCAGGAAACTTGCTGAAACTCAAAGCAAGTCGAGCCTTGAGCACTACTAAGTGCACTACTAAGTGAATGAAACATTTATTTAAAGATATAAAATTAATACTTGACCCTTCGATAATACTTGGTGATGAAGATATGATATGGTGTATGAATGAGATTAAGATTCAAGAAGATTGTGAAATAAGAGGGAACTAATGCAATTCATTTTCCCCTCCGAAAAGTTGAGAAATCCATGACATAAGAATGAATTTCATTCTTTTTAAATAAGAAGAGACAAGCTATTACCTAGCGTACACCTCCTGGAGGAAATATATTCTGGGAAGCTCTGCACGATAAGGCCAGAAATTGTACGGGTATTTCCTAATAATTATACTTCGTACGAAATAATTAATCTAGCTAGTAGGCACCTTTCGAGATCAATGTTCTGGGACTTCTAGCACAACGATTCCGTAAATTGCAAGACATCTTATACGACAGCTCGCTTAATGTCCAATGAATATAATAGCCTTCAAATTTTATATAAAGTTCACATGCGAATTCAACAGTGATTATTCATTTCTGCATAAACACACTAAAAGATCTTCTATGTGAAAAAAGAGGCTAATTATAGAGTCATCAGAAGCCCCTCACGTTGAATGCAATGGAAATTAGGAACAATGGAAACAACTTTGCCAGCCCATAATGCTAACCAAAATTGAGTTAGTCCCCTCAAGATATTCCACAGTACATAATCAATTTTACGCCACAACAAAAAACAATATTCCGTCAGTAACAAACAATTGCTGCTAGTAACCTGAACAAATAAAATAACACCACAGACAATTTAAATGGAGAAACATAAGTATTCCCCAAATTCCCTTCCTAGAAATCCTTCAATCCACCTTCAAATCACGACAATGTCGTCCGTCATGAAGAAAACCACCACCCTAGTCCGAAAGGCCACAAACTCATTTCGCCGAACCATATCCGACTTGACAAGCAAGAAGGAGAAGAAGGAGAAGCAGCCCAAGTGCCCAGTCTGCGAGGCTCCATTCGATGGCCAAGTATGCGAGAACTGCGGTTCTCGCGTCACTACCCTTCGAGACCTACGACGCCGGCCCTCTCAAGAGACCAAACCCTCAAGGTCTGGCGCCAGCGATTCTCCGTTACTTGAACGAGAGGCAGTGAAGGACAAGGACGAAGCATCTCAACGAGAGCCTCCTCCTCCACCTCCTCCACCTCCTCCACGCAGATCGAACGCCAAAGGTAAGGAGAAGCAAGACGCCCCAGCGGAACGCCTATCCTCGTCCTCATCCTTGGAGTAGAAAGGACGCTCTTATACTCTTGGAGTATAGAGTACGCTCTTTTACTCCTGATCCTGAGCTTGTCTGAGGATTTGGATGAGGATACCCCCGGTGCTGAAAAGCTAAGATAGGTCTACTCTAGAACAAAGAGATGGACTTGTTCAGCACCGACTCCTTGACACCCAACCCCCTCTTTTCTTAATTCAAACCCCCAAATACCCCCAAGCCCGATAGAAATATGTTTAAAAAAGTTTTAATTGTGTTATAAAATAATGAAGATGATATGATATAGATGAATAGAAATGTATAAGAGGCTTCTGAGATGATGGAATTTGGAGAATTAGATCTTTGTATTAGGGGAAAGACAGATGGATAAAAAAGGTTCTGATATATGTTTACACGTTTTTAGATAAGACGCTCCGTTGCGCTCTTCTGCGGAAGTCTTAATAGATGTGCTGTATATATTGAAGGAGGTTATTGGAAATATACCAATGAAAAGGTAATTATGGCGAGGAGAAAACGAATAATGTCTCATGTCTCAAGTCCCAATCTCAGTAAAACACTAGAACAAAAATAACACAAAGAACTACACACTTGTTCCAGACCCAAGACTCCATCCAAAACACAAATAAACAAAACAATCAACCTCTATACCAACAACCACCTCCCTCTCATTCCCTTCAACCCCAACCAATCTCAACAATGCCGTCCTTCAACATCAAAAAGAAACTCAGAGCACTGGCCCAAAAAGCCCGAGATACTCTCCATGGACCTTCTATGGCTGCACAACTTCTAATATACCACCGCTGGTGTCCCGCTTGTGAGAGACCATGGACTTTTGACGGTGAAGTGTGTCCCGTCTGCGGACATAGAGAACGAGAATCGAGGCCAGCGTTTGAGATAGATAGAGCGGAACAGAGTAGTACTTGGTCTACTTGAATCTGTTCTATATATTTACACTTCTATGTCTGACCAAAACAATACAACCACTAATAAAAACAACAAAATCCCTCCCTCACTCCTCCAAATCCCATCAACCCATCTAAAACACACCTAAACACAACTCCCCCAACCCTACATTAACCCCCTCCCCCTTTCCCTATCTCCCCTCCAATCCACAGCACCAACACCATACTAACACCATGCCCTCCCTCAACATCATAAAAACCCAAAAAGCCCTCGCCCAAAAAGCCCGCGACGCTCTCTCAGCACGTTCTCCCTTCCGACACCAATGGTGTCCCGCTTGCGGGAGACCCTGTATCATCGGCAATGAGATGTGTCCCCGCTGCGGACATACAGAGCTTCGTCCTAGACTAACGACTGAGCCGAATCCGCATTTTAGTATAAATTGATGGGTGGGTGATGATTTGATAGTTAAGGTTGCGAATGGGGGGGGGGGGGTTGCTTGGGTATGGTGAGTGTATGACGAATAGATGAATAGATAAAATAGCAAAACTTTTAAGATATTGCTCACTCTTTGCATAATAACACTTCTGCGGTACTAGTGATACCCGCAAAAATTCACTCGTGTAAAAACCAAAAGATCGAGATCGATAAACCAAAACAAACATAAGCATATACTATCACTATCCTTTCCCTTTCCTAGACATTTCATAACACAAAGTCTCCCACCAAGAAACCCCGGCCTTCAGAACCAGAATGTTTTACTTCTCATTATCCATTCTTATCTCTAAGTTACAAGTAACAGTGTTTACTATACAACCACCCAGCCACACTCTCCTAACCCTTTTATTCTCCTAAATCTTAATTCATAATCTCATCTCACGAAATATCCTCTACAAACTTCAAACGAGAGCCTACAGCTAGTATAGAACAGAACGGAACAGTACCCATACCTATCTATCCATAAAGAATAATACAGCACAACCAATCCTCCACAATTCCTTCCAACCCTCTACAGATATCATCAAACAAACAACCTTAAACTATCATCCTCACCGCACATCCAAGCGATACAGATGATAAACAGTCTAATCAAAACAATACAACCCCATAAAAAACGAGCCCCTTCTTACCATTCCATCCCCCGTTGGTTGAAACAATCCCATTATCCTTTCCACCCCCATAACCCCTATCCCTATTTCTTTCATCCCCTCCGAGGGCTTTTCTTTATCCAACCCCTCCAGAGGTATGCTGAAACAGAAACAGAAATAATGGGATGGTATATTATCTGTACCCGTAGGGATGTTTATTATATATTGTCTGTCAGTCAGTCTGTCACTCACTCACTCACTCACCACCACCAACAAAAAAAGAAAATATGTCCACCATCTTAAAATCCACAAACAACACCCCCTCTCTCCCCCATCCAACCTCAACCTCCATAAATACAAACACAAAACCAACAAAACCAAACCACCCTCCCTCCTCCACCCCCCATCCCTATTCCACCCCACACCCCAACATCAACAAACCCCTCCCACCACTTCCTCTCTTCTCCAATCTTGGGAAGAGCAAATCCATTGAGAAATCGGCTTTTCGGTCAGATGCTGCATATTATGAGGAGAGACCCCTTTTACGTCAAAATGAAATTGAAAGGGAAAGGGAAAGGAATTCCTGGGGAGAGGGAGTGGATGAGTATCCCAGGTTCTGGGCGTGGAATGATGAGGATGAGGATGAGGTTTGTTCGTCCCTTCGTTCTCCTTCCACTTCCCCTCCTCCTCCTCCTTCTCACATGCCTAGTAAAGATATACTCAGCATCAAGACTCCCATTCCACGTTCCAACAAAATCCTTCCAACCACCTCTTTCCCGACATCTTTACAAGAGGGATCCGGCGAAACACACACAACACACAAATCAAAAGAAGCGGAACTACAAAAACGAGAATAGCTAGCGTTTGAAGAAGCAGTCAGGCAGACAATGAGGAAAATTGCGCCGCATCGGTTGGGTGCTTATGAGGCTGCTCTTGCTATTGGGAGGGAGAGTGTAAGGTAGGCCTTTCCTACTCTTATTTCTTCTCTTTTTCTTCTTTTTTTTTTCTTTCCTTTAATTAGAATGAAATTAAATGAAATTCATACAGTCTACATACACATATAGAAAGGAGATCTAACTTAATAAGATTAAGTAATAATTTATTTATACTATAATATATACCCATAACTCTAGGACCTAGCCCACGCGAGCTAGACTTCGCTTGACGTTAAATAGCAATAAATAAATATACCCATAACGAAATAAATCCAGAAATCTCCTATTATATTATACTCGTATTCGATAAAAGCTTTATTCTATCGACTAACCGATCTGTTAAAATCTATACCCTTCCCTACTCTCCAAAATAAACCCTTAACTCTTTTGTCCGTTACTTATCCTTGACTACCTTAGAGGGGAAAGTGGAGTTTTTTAGACTCTCTAGAGACTCTCGAATAAGGGTTTTATATAGAATATAGTCCTAGGAAAAAAACCGCTAGGTAATAGGAGGAGGGCGGTTTATATATAAAGATAGTTTTAAAATATTAGATAGTTATATTAATAAGATTATTAAGAATAGTTTCCTATATGTAAAAGCGTTCTAGGACCGTCCGGAGAGCGTTTTAAGAGCGTCCTAGGACCGTCCTAAACCCGTCCCAAATCTAACTCCCAGGTGTACATATGGTTACGTAAGTAGGGCAGGGAGGGTGCGCAAGGCACTCCCGACCTCGGGCGCCTACGGGCATGTACCCCGCGCGCGCCCACTACCCCTAACTAAATCACCACAACCAACACCGCACGTCATACCGCCTACGATGCGCGCCGGTCAAATTTCGCTGAATCGACTGAATTTAACACTTATATCTTTATAGCGTTAGGGTTAAGCGCATAGGAGCACTACCGAGTACGTGATGTGGCCCGTGCGCTACGGCTCTGCGCGCCCATATGCGGCTCTATAGGGCACTTTTCCGCACCGTCCCGGGAGCGTCCGAGAACCGTTCTACGATCGATCGACGACTATTTAAGAACGATTCTTAGACTATCTATAAATTAAAATATTTAAATATAAAATAGTAATAAATCTAAGACTATTTATAAGTAAAATAGTCTAAAAACTATTTATAAGTAAAATAGTCTTAAAACTATTTTATACTAAAATAGTTATAAATATAAACTATTATACTTGTAAATAATCTTAAAACTATTTTATATTTAAATAGTTATAAATTCTAAACTATTTACCTTTTAAATAGTCTTATATTAGTTCAAAATCTAAAATAATCTTTAAAATAAATAGTTTTTAATTAAAATAGTTATATAATTTTAAATTATCTAGAAATAATCTTACAATAGTTTCCCTTTTAGATAACTATCTAAAAAACTCTGCTTTCCCCTCCAAGGTAGATTCCTACCTATACCCTAACCCTCTAACCCTCTAAATTGTCACGAATCACGTGTTAGCATGTGACGAGTGAAGACCAGGCGGCGTCCTGACAGGTTAAGCACTATCATGCTCTTATAGCGAATAGGGATCGGCTAGACTGGCTAAGCGATCCAAGGATTTCATTATAGTCACGTGACGGATCTTTGGATCTGGATGGATCTTGGGGATCCTAGGATCCAACCAGATCCATGAGCAAGAAGGTTCTATATATCACTGGCACGTCTGCCATTAGATAGGAGCTTCGTGCTCAACTTAGTTATCAATCTTATCATATTAGTTTGACATCTTTGATACATACGTGACGGATCTTTGGATCTGGATGGATCTTGGGGATCCTAGGATCCAACCAGATCCATGAGCAAGAAGGTTCTATATATCACTGGCACGTCTGCCATTAGATAGGAGCTTCGTGCTCAACTTAGTTATCAATCTTATCATATTAGTTTGACATCTTTGATACAAGTAACGAGTTCACTTCCAAGTGAACAACCCGATAGTCTTCTTCTTATCATAGCATACCAACCAGCGAACACCCAGCCAAGTTTAGTTAGCCAGTTTGAGTATTCGTTACATAAATCCTCCTAAAAGATCCCTCCCTATCCCTTCTCTTTCTCTTTCTCTTTCTCTTACTCCCCTAAAATTAACAGATAGGCCTCAAGATCTCGTAGCCATAAGTCTGGGTATAATAATGTTCAAGACACAGGTCCGTTCGGGGTTTAGACATACTTGACAGTACTATAGTCTTACACAAGCTTTTTTATTAAGTAAGTATCGAAACCACAACCACAACCACTCCCCCCTCCGCTCTTCATCCACTACTATTCACCAATGCTAATGCCAATGCCACTCAATGCCCATGTCAAATTTACAACCCGGAAGCGAAACCAATAACTATCAATCAATCCGCATAGCCTGAAAGCATCTGCCTCCGTACGTACAACATGCCCATTCGATATATGTATCGTTTTAACCCGCCAATGTGCATTCCCTTAAAACAACAGGCCCGTCAATTATGATGATCCTCCATTCGTAACAGGTTCGGCAGGACTAGTAGGCCCCGTAGGCTTTTTCGATCGGAGAGTAAGAGGGAATGGATACTCATCAGGATCTTCTTCCTCACTATACAAAGAAAACAATTAGTACCGTCCTTGTGATGCTCATCGAGTGAAATTGAAAACTTAAAACTTACGGTAGCTTCCATGCAACATAATCCTCCGTGCTCAAACCTTCTCGTCCTTCTTGTATACTGGCAAAGTCACCAGGAGTCATCATTCCGCTGCGATCTCTAGGAGAACCAGGAACCGAGAATGGTCTCGAGATCTTCTGTTCAACACCTGGGATAAAGTCCTCGTCCTCTTCTCCTTCGAATGATGCAGGGTATGCTCTTCTGAGAGCCAATTGTCTTGCCTTGACATATTCCATACCCATTCGCTTCCAGTCCAATAGGTCACTAAGTCGCTCGGTACGATTTCTTTGGTTGATACGTTGACGTCTCGACTTGTTGGCGAAATCAAACATGTAGGAGGTAAGTTGGTTGACGGAATCATCAACACCCTTCATACGACGATCAACAATGTAGATACCGTAATCAGTAGAGTTCTCAATCAGTTCCTCCATGTAACAACCAAATCCAGAGAGATTGGTTGTAATACTTGGAACGCCCATGACTGTACACTCTGCTGGCGTATATCCCCAAGGTTCGTAGTACGAAGAGAAAACACCAAGATGGGTTCCTCGAACGAAATCATCATAATCCATTGGCAAAACTGGGTTGGCGGAGTTCAGGAACTCTGGGTGAAAGACAATCTTGACTCGGTCTGAGGGATGGTTGAAAAGTTGCACTCTTCGGATTTGGTTGAGAATTGGATCTTCCGAATCGTTTTGCATGTTATGCGTAACAATCGGAGGAAGTCCATGGCGCTTCATTGCGAATAATCGTCTTCGAAGAAGAATTCGATCCTGACTGGTAATGAGATCTTTGTCATCTGGCATTGCTTCTCCCTCGTGCCATTTCAAAGCACGTTCAAAAATCCGCTTTCCAACACTGCGCTCAATCACATCAACCGTATCCCGCAGAGACTTGATGACTGCCTGTCCTTTTAGTGCTTCCACGGTTAGAGATTGCGTTTGAGCTGGCATGATGATGAATGCGACAATGGTGATCTTGGATCCGGCAGACTTTAATCGATGGTTCAATCGAGCCAAGGACTCTATAAACATATCAACACCCTTATTTCTGTACTCGTATCTACCAGCAGTGAAGAAGTAAAGAGTGTTTTCTGGATCAAAGTCATTGTGCCCATAGAAATGACCTCGAACAAAGTCGTGGATTCTCTCTTTCGATTGCTGATGCAGATTCTGGAATTCGTGCATGGCGGAGAACTTTGTAACATTGAGACCGTTTGGAAGTACGCCATCGGGTTTGCGCTTCAGGAGATGCTCGCTTTCGTAGGCAGTGATATGCGATACAGTCGTGAAAACATCGCAAGAATGTGCGGAAGCACGCTCAATACAATATCTATGGTAGATACCACGCTTTCCAGCCTCTGCATCCACATCAAAATATTGCAGATTGTTGTAGAAATCGACCGAACCGGCGCAGAGGTATCTTCCGAGAAGAGTTGCGTGTGTAGTGAAGATGGTGGTCACATCAATTCTTCGCTTCTTGCATAAAGGCAATGCGACACCTGAGAGCCATTCGTGGAAATGCGCGATAACTGCATGTTCTTTTTCATGATAGACAAACTATTTTTGTTAGCCATAACCGAGATCGGAATAAAAATTGGGTAATTACCTCTCCCAAGAACCATGCGACGAGGTAACCGAACACCACTGCTTCATTGGTCTCGTCATCTCCAGGGGGAGATGGGATTCCTGCTGTGTTCCATAAATCGGCCTTCCATTCGTCCAGAAATCTGTAGGCAGTTTTCGTATCAATCAACAGAACGCGAGGAGCTCCTTCAATCAACCAACGCCCATATACAATGCCAATTCCTCTCTCTTCCATCGACTCGATCGTCTTGGCAAGGTGTGGATTGGTAGGAGTGAGAGCTTCTACCTCGACCGCCGCCTAGTGGAATTAGCCATGTTGAGAGCTTGCGACCTTTCGCATGAAGAGCTTACGGATTGTTTATTCAAGGGTCCAATGAGACAATAACGATCGCCATATTCAGCCGTTGTCACAGGAGATTTGGATTTGATGACGGAATAGATGCCACCCACTGTGACAGGTCAGTACATTGTCTCATGGATCTGGCGCTGGTCCCAACGGCTTTGGTGCGACATACCTCGGTTGGCGACCTCTGTGGCTATCTCAAAGAGATAGTGATTGCGAATGTCTCTATTGGCATTGTGCACTCCAGCATGCGACCCTGTTGTTTCCGACATGATCTCTGGGTGTTGTGAAGTAATCGCAACTTGGTGGACGTTGGGAATCTGAAATCGGTGGTGGTTGGGCTGGGCGTAAAATGGTGATGAAGGTTACTGTAGGGACTGAGGATAGATGATCTAGTTCTTTCCCTAGCACCGTTGGAGCGGATCTAGTTTCCTACGACCTACGACCAGAGTCTTTTTTGCCCACAGTTTCTGTCAGCTCCTAATTGTTCCTTCTTGAAGTTGTCATGGAGAAAGAGGTAGGATTTCAGATTTTTTTCTCGCTCCAAAGGATCACCTCATGTTGGTGTCCATCGGCGCGTGCTGGAGGACCGTGGAAGCTTGGAAATAGTGGTACTTACATGCAATTGAATGGCGGCAACAGGATCCAAAGATATTTGGTGCGCAGTGGTTTGAAGAGGCTGAAGAGGAGATCTTTGGGTGAGATCGGTGCTTCCGCGTTTTGGTAGAGAAAGTAAATGAGGAAGAGTTTTGGAGAGCACTCCACTGCGCAGTGTCTACAATATCTCCGCCTCGCCTCTCCACAATCGGTCGCCTTCTCCAAGCTTGGTGGGCAGGGATCTTGGGTCATGCGCTAGCGCGAATGTGGGCAAGCCTGCGGGTGAGCTCAAAGGCCTCTCTGATGGGCCAGAGTGCGCGCGGTGGTTGGAAAGCGGCTGGGTTGCCTGCGCTAGGTTTCCTGGTTGGATGGAACCATGGCAGAAAGGTGGGCGGGCTTCTTTCACGGTGCTCTACCAGGTGCTGCGACTGATGTAATGCCAATGACGTCTGATCCTCTGTCACCTGTTATGCGAACACCTACGAGTTCTCGTACTCTACAAACACTACACCTCATCGTAAGCTAACAATGAACTACACTACCACTACATACCGCTCCATGTGTGACCGCCATTTGGACAAAGTGTACACTGACGTTGAGGTGTTGCACTTCCGTCCCTTCACCATATATGAGTCGCTCAATTGGCTCAGTGGATCCAGAATTGCGGGGTGGAGGAGCTTTGAGAGCTTCGACCAATCAACATGAAAATTAGAGTTCACGAGTGCAGGAGGCAACCTGGAATGTGCCTCTCGCATCTTTTCTGGAGAACCTGGGATCATCAACATGGAGAAGTCCACGGCTTCCCCGCAACCCAACAACCTCATCGACCCCACCTGTCAAACTGGTCTTGTACGAGATCCAGTCACCAGAGTCACGACATACAGCTACCCCAGACAACCTGAATGGACTGCATCAGAGCGGTTCACAAGAATGGGGACAGGTTACCTAGGGTAGAAAACTTGGAAACGGGATATTTCACGTGATGGGTGGATAGAACCCCTTTTGCGAATCTGCTATATCTTTTCTTTAGATTACTCAATTTTTCCTTAGTATCATGACAACCTTTCAAACAACAGAAGACACGATAGAAAGAGTCAACGATATCAGAAATCAGACTTCAATTCCTTTTGGGAATGTTTCCCTACAATGGTAAAGGAACAATAACATTTATCACAATAGTAAAGAGACAAAACATTGATTCAAATCTCTTTGTCATTTCTCATATGTTTCACTGTTTATCTTCTTTGTCTCTTTGTCATCCATCATCAACGAATCCTAGGAACAAAAACATAGCATCTTCTCCCTTTACTCTCTCATTCATCTTTCAAGACCTGCAAGTAGTAAGTACAAGGTGTGTTGCCAAGCTTTCATTTTTCGGCCATTTTTTTATATACTTATTTTTATTTCATCACATATTGGACAAGTCAAAGTCATTTTGGAAGTTTCTTGAGAAATTTTGTTTGATTTTATTTTATTTGGGGTGTTAGTTTGATTGGGGGTATCCTTTAACCTGGGGGTTATTGTATAAGGGGGAAAGGGGGAGGGGCAACTTTACCTGGGGGTATCCATAACTCCAAAAACGCCATTCAATCCGCCCTGTTATCCGCTAAAGCGTAATCAAGGGCACTAGGCGGTATCGATATCGCAAAAGAGTAATGGGGTACTGTATCCTTGGAAACCTACAAGAAAGGAAAAAGTTAGCACAGTTACAAAAAAACAATTAACAAAAAACCTCTCCTCGCACCTCAGCCTGGAGACGCTTCTTAGTCAAGCGACGCTGCTCAGTCAATTGACCAAGCCTGGTGGGAAGATCACCATCCGCCCTGCGGTTCAGGTATACACACCACCACGCCTCCTCCTCATCATCAATCAAAGGGTTGCCAGCTTCCCAGGGATTGCGGAATTGGACTGGTTCTTCGTCATCGTCCTCAAAATACTCCACATCCTCATCACTTTCTTCCTCTTCCTCCTCAAAACTTTCCGACGAGGAGTAGGATTGAAGAGTGGGAAGAGGGAGAAGAGGAGGAGGAAGAGGGGAATTCGAGAGTGTGAGAGGAGAAATAGAACAAGTCCGGGAAAGCGAGTGAGTCGAACGAGCAAACGGAGAATGAGAATTCGAACGACTAATAGCCTCACGACTCCGTCCCATCTCCATCTCCCTCTCAATCTCCTTCTCCCACCAACTCCTCACCTCCTCCTTCTCCTCCTCCCTCCACGCACCGTCTGCGCTCGCGCTCTCAAATTCTCACTAGCACTCCCATCACCAAACCACTCCCTCCCCACCTCCTCAAACCCCCTCATCCCCCTCCTCACCACCCTCGCCACAGGCGAGGGTGGTGAGGAGGAGGAAGCGGCTTATCGAGATCGGCGGGCGGAATGTATCCACAGTTCCTGCATCGACTGCCGTTTATTGGGAGGCGGCGGGTGCAGTGTGGACACCGTGAGTAGGCTTGTTGCTGCTGCCAGTACCTTTGGTGATGAGGATAGGGTTGGAGTTTGCATGGTGGGGTGTTTGGGGGTGGGCCGTGAAGTTAGGGTTCGCCGGAGGGAGTTCTTGGCGAGGGTTAGGAGGTTGGAGAGGGTTTTGAAGGTTGACATTTTTTTGGTTTGTTTTGCTTACCTTGTGTTTTTTTGTGTTTGGTGTGGTTGGGATGTTGTTTTTTGTTGTTTTTGTGTGGGGTTGTTAATGTACAATGGGTCGGAGATTGGGGGGGGGCATTGATGTTGTTTTTTACTGTTTTGTATAGTTTGGGAGGTGAGGATGGAAGAGTGGGATTTTGGGATTAGTTGTTTTTTTTACTGGTTTTTTACGAGTACTGGTAAGATTTACTGTACATAGAAGTGGAGGGAGGCATAGGAGATTAGGAGACTTTTATATTCTGGTTTGGCTGTTTCTAGCTATAGTACTAGTAGTACTTGGATATTATAACTTTATAATCCTAGCCAGGCTAGTAGGGGTTTTGGTTATAGTAGATTTGCGGATTAGTTATATTATATTATATATATTAAAGGATATCTTGGTACGAGTTTAGTACCTGTTCCTAGATTTATCTTCGGATTTTTTTTTATCTACGGATATATTCATTATTATAATGGCTTGTAAATTTTTTAAAATTCTTGATTGTTAGGGGTTCTATTACCAATTTTATCTTTTATTACTGTAGAAACTGAAGAAGAGGCGAGGTGGTGGCGAAAAGTTATGTTTTGTTGTTATTTTGTGTTATATGTTATATTGGATTTAGTGGATTGGGTAATCTTACAAGTAGTGGGTGAGGTGCAGTGGGTGGGGCATATATCCTTATGAATAAATAGGACCTTCTAATCCCCCTGGAAAATTCAAATTCAATATTCCTAAATATTAGGCATGTTAAAATAGAGAAAGATGGAAGTAGAGGTAATACGAAATAAGACTCACCTTATGATTGAACCTTTCTAATTTCTAATATCTTATCTTAACATTATCGTCAGAAGCGAAGTAGTTAAGACAAGACTATTTTATTTTATTTGACTTACTCGTCGTACCTTACCCAACTCCTTTGCCCGCCCTCGAAGCACCACACTATCTTCCTCTTGTCTACTCGTGTGACTAGGCCTTAGATGTGTTATTCATGCTTCGTAATCAAATCTCGTTCTTCATGCTAATCTATAGAGAAAGAGAGAAGAATCCTTGGATTTCTTTCTTTCTTTTTTTCTTAAGTCAGACTGACTCCTCTCTGGGCTGCTGGATTCAACCTCGCTTCCTCCTCTATATCTTATACATCTGGATGTCCTAGGGACGGGATGGTCCGTTAAAAGAAGAGTCTTGTCTTGGTCTCCTTCAACCCCGCCGTGGGATATACTCCACATCTCTCATCTCACATGCAGTACTTCTAAAGAATACCACTGGTGCCCTTGTACATGTATCAAAAGAAACGCTTCATTTCTCTGTGCAAGTTACATCGGGGACGGTGGGGTTTTACATGAGACGCGGGGTTGAAACGGGAGACGGCGAGGGCGAGGGCGAGGGCGACGATTCATGGTGGTTATGGGCTTTGATTAGGGCTGTAAGATTAATGTACGAGGGAGGAGGGGTAGGTGTGGATGGGGGGTTATGTAGAGGAATGAGAGAGTTGTTTTGTGTTGTTTCAGTGGGGAGGGAAGGTGTTTTTTGGTGTTTGAAGGGTGGTCTTTGTGTCTGAGATTGTGGGGTTCTTTGTTGGATTGTTGTATGGATTTGTTTTGGGGTGGGTTTTTGGTTTTTTTATGGGGGG